GGAGGCTGAGGCAGGAAGCTCTGAAGTTCAAGCCCAATCTGGGAAATTTAGCAGGTTAGTGAACTGTATCTCAAGATTTAAAAAGAGCTGGAACTCAGAGTTCAATCCTTAGAACAGTCACCCCCTACCCACCCACACACACACAAAAACTGGGTACACAGAAGGTATAGGAGCAGGTAAAGCCGGGAATTGATATATGTTAAACCCTTGTACTACCATTTTCTCAGTGAAATTGAAGACAAAGTTTTCTTTACAGGTGAAAGTTCAGGAGGATTTGAAATAACTTCTGGAGAAAGTATTGGAAATGAACTGGGACCTGCAGAAAATCCTGGGTATCAATATTGCCTACCAAAGATTGGATAGCACTTTTAATAATGCCCTCAGTTTCTGTGCTTACAGAATATTCTTTAAATGTGAGTAGAGAACAAACGAGTGAACAGATCCAGAATTAATGGTTTATAGCACGTTTGGGACAAAAAGCTTCTCATCTCCTGATTTGGACTGACGGATATTTGAGGGATCAACTCATTCATCTTCTCCTCTCCAGCCCAGTTTTTGAGAATAAAACAAGGAGTCAGAGACAGTTGAGCAGAACCCACTGACCCCTCAATATGGAGCTTCTGATAAATGATTGGAGGCCTGAGGTCAAGATGTTGCTTATTCCTCCTCCGCCCAAGGGAAGATGGGGTAGAGGGGGCCAGAAGGAGTTGGTCAGTTTGTTCCCCTGGAAAGTGAGACTTTGGTAGAGGCTGGTGGAGGAAGGAACACAAGTTCTTCCTAATTAAGAACTAGAGTTAATCTGAGAAAAGCATCCTAAAAGATAAGATTTGAAGAATAGAGTAATTTAAGGTTAAGGTAAGGTCTAGGGTTTGCAGCAGACAGAGGCCAAAGGAACTGAAAAGCCTGGGCTAGCAGAGGTTGTTCAAATCCTTTCTTCTGCTGTGTCTTGCTCCCCATTAGTGCGCCCTGTTTTGTCTTTCTGATAGGATTTACGCTGTTGTGCTTATGCTAGGTAAGTGCATTTGAGGATAGGGAGTCTGTGCTGTCTTTTTACCTCACAGTGCCTGATCCATATTTCTAGATTTTAATTACTAAGATGAAAGTTCATTGCAGGCATGAGAAGACTGTGTTGAAATATTTTCAAAAGCTTTTTAAGCAAACATTACTTCTGAAGTTTGCTGGGCTAGAAATGTAAGGATCAGAAACTTAGGCAGCTGCTTTAGCATTTTACAGCATATGAAACTGGCAGAACTTTCTGGGGTATAAAGTGGAGCAAAAGACACGCTTTCAACTGGCAATTGACAGTCGTCTCTATATTTAAATTTTTAAATATGCTGCCTCCCAAGATTATAGTGGTTGCTATTGACACTGCTATTTTAGCTAGTTCATGTCAGAGGTTAATGGTGTAGCGTGATGGTGTTGTGGCTGGAGAATCCAGAAATGGCTAAATCCTGCTTCATTATAACCCTGCGTCTTCTCCTTTAAGTCGGTAAGGGTGGTATACTGACAAAAAGCACTAGCACATGGAAAAATCTATAAACGGCAAATGGAAAATTTGTGCTTTGCCTGAAAACCCAATGCAGATTTCTCTGGTGAAATGGATTCCATAGTGAGTGTCCCCCAAAGAAGGGCAGCAGCTGACCTCATCCAGACACTACTCAGAGTCACTTCTGCATCATTAGGCAAGAGCAAATGACCGGGCTGGTCCAGCCGGAGGTAGAGAGAACATAGACTCCCTAGACAGCAGTGTCAGAAGCTGTGTGGGCTGGTTTAAAACCTGCAAACACTACACTTACTTTTCCTTTCTTGTACAACCTTCCTCTTCACTCTTGGAGTTAGTCCTTTTTTTTTTCACTTGTCCAAGTCACCGTAGGTATTTTATGAGTTTCTTATTGCTCTGTAGCGAATTACCACAATTGAATTAGCTTAAAACAAATCCTATTTGTCTTACAGTTTCTGTTAGTCACATAGCATAGCTAGGATCCTTTTGTCTACATTTTTAAATGTAGTAAATTAAAATCCACATTTGCACACATACAGAAACACTCCCATCATCAGCACAGCACACCAACAATCAGCATCAGGTGATTGCTCCCGGGACTTTCACTCTGAGCTACATCTCTAGCCCTGTGTTTGAATTTTTTTGAGATAGGATCTTGCTAAGTTGTCTGAGCTGGATTCAAATTTGTGATCCTCCTGATTCAGCCTCCCAGAGTGCTGTGATAATAAGCATGTATCACTACATGTGGCTCACAGAACTGACTTTTAATGGCCTTCAATTGGGCTACTTTTCCCACAGTATGATTTTGTGTTTTTATAAGTATCTTCTACATTATGCAACAACAGCAAACCCTACAAACTCTGAAAGCATTTGCAACTTTAGTTGGCAGTGATGTGATCATACATTGTAGCCTTATTGTCACTGTTTAAGAATGTAGGTTGATGGTTCATTATCATACTGGCTGTTTAAGTTCTACCATGATGATCTCTATGGTTGTAGAATCTATAATGTTATTTTTTGTGATTTGTTTCAAGATTCTTTTAAAACTTTATTGATATATTTGTATGGTGTTGGCATTTCATTTTCACTTTAACATGTTTATCATTAACATAACCCTGTGTTGTGTCTGAGTGTGTTCCATTTGTGGCTGGAAACAATTGATTTCCTGTTGGTGCCACCCGGGAAAGAGCTTCCAGACCTCCTCGAGTCTTGCCCAAGGCTCTTTCCTATCACGGTAGCCTCTGCATTTAGGGAGTTTTTCCTCCATTCTTCTTTCTTCCTATATCCAGTGCTGTGTTTGTGTCTTTCTTGCTGTTCATATCCTCATGTTTTAAAAACGTACCAAATTGTAGAAGATAAGCTTAGTTTAAGCAATCAAAAAGTCTGGGTTTGGATCCTGGCCTGGCCACAGATAGTCATGTGACCTTGGGCAGTTAGTTAACCTTTCTAAATCTTACTTTCTTCACCTGTACTGAGGATGGCAATGCCGTTTGCCCCATAGGTCTGTGAAAATCAAATTAATTTGATAGCACACTTAAATACCTAACAGTGATAAGCATATGCAGTTTATTAAGTGTTTAGTGCCTGTTATTATCCAGAGTGTTTCACCCTTTTGTTTCCTTCTCAATTCCCAATTCCTAAAAGATTGGGAATTTTGAAAGGATATGTGAATGAACATCATCTTGAAACACATTCTATCCTTTCTGTCTTTCAGAGGTATAGTTAAGATTCAGTTATACTTTTATATTAATAAGTATAGGTATTATTGGGATAAACAACTATAGATAATGAATAAAGATAATTGTACCATATAGGTAAATATTACTTGCTAAAGAAGAGCTTTTTAAATGATATGAAAGTCTTCGCAATCACAAGAGGTTGGCTTTCAAAATGTACTGTTCAAATAGCTATTTTCTTTAAGTTTTAATGAAGAGTAAGCTAAACTTTAAATAATTGAGCCATCATTTTAAAGAAATTATTGTATTCACAGTGTTAAAACTGCTTATGAAAGTTTGTAGGGACAGTAATGTATACTTTCTGTTGTGTGCATATTTGTTTGCTTAACTAGAAGAAATAGTCACTTAGTTGGCTAATATAGCCACCCTTAGCATTTTAGAGCGTGGTCTTCAAGGGCTACCTGGGTTACTTGCTGGGTAAGTTCAGGCATTGTGTGAGCACACTTACTTTTAGATTTAAATGAGTGCTGCAAAGTTGATTAGCATTTGATTATGACTCTGTATGAGGGCTTAAACATACAATTAAATCAATAAAAAAGAGTATGCTCTTATGGCACATAAAATACAAGAAACTATACATGTATAGTATTACTGAAATAAGTAGGCTGGGTTTTAATGGGAGGGAAAACTGTCCTCAAGAGCATATTTTTTTAAAAATGGTTTTTGTTTACTCAGTTTTCCTGTTAGCTTCCTCTCAGCTGACATAATTCAGTTCATCTCTCTGAACAGGACTATTACATCCTTTGAACTTAAGAATGTGTTAGTTTGTTTTTATCCATTAATATTTCAGTATTTAGTTCCAAAGGAAATAACTAGAAGCTGTTTTCTTTTTCATATCATTTGTGAATGCATGTTTTTCAAAAGGGATTTAGGTCATCCCTTGAATAATCACTTAGATAAATGCTGCTGACCTTATTTGATGTTTGTTGGATCTATGTTTCTGTTCTAAATGCTCTATGCCTAACTTATCTAATTCTCTATATCAACCCCATAAGAACTATTATAATCCCCAGTTTATTGATGGGGTATGTGAGGCAGACCAACATCTAATATATGGAATAACTAGAATCAAAACTCGTCTAGAGCATTTGGCCTTGATCAGTACTCTTGACCACTTTGCTACCTTGCCTCTTTATTCTGGAGTTTTTAATGAGTGTGGTTCTTATGGTATTTCTCTGGTTGGTTATTCCCTGTTCATTTTTTTTTTTCCTGCTCGAATTCAATGAGCAGAATTCATTGTCCAGCTTTGTAGGCTACACTGCCAGACATATAATAATCATTTGCTAGGCAGACAACAATCTAGAATGTTACATTATATTCTGGACACCTTGTCTTAAAAAGAAATGCTGGCTAAAGAGCTCACGGGAGAAGGAAGGTAATCAATATTATAAAAATAATATTGATTATTATCTGGAAATCATAGGGTGATTAACATTTCCTTTGTAGATTTGGGGAAATGTGACTTTTTTTTAATATTTAGGAAATTACTAGGTCTGAGAAGCAGTAGATAAATTGTGTTATTACAATGCACAGAACAAATACCTGTGCTCTAATTAACTCACAGAGTGACAATTTCAGCTCGACATAAAAAAGAATTTTCTAACTTGAGTCATCTGATAGAACAGGTCCCTTTGTGAGGTAACGACTGTGCCCATTATTAGAAATCTTTAGTCATCTTCCCTGTGTGCTAAAGGGGCATAGAGAAGAGAGTTGTCAGAGCAGGTTCGATGCTGAAATGACTTTCTCAAGGTCAGATGGCTAATAGTTGTACAAAACTAGCACCAAATTTGTGGCTCTTGGTGTTTGTTGGGGTGGGAAGAAGGAATGGATTTAGAGATGGCTGGGCAGTAAGCTAGACTTCACTGTGTCACTGTACCATTTAGCGCGAGTGAAACAACCAACCTTTAGGAGCGCTGTTAGAGAGTGCTTGACCTGGTACAAGGGTGCAGGAGAAGTAGGAGGCCAGCGAGAGACTGAGATTTCCTTGGAGATGCAAAGACTGTGTCTTCCCTGGTATCTGAAGGCTAACACAGTGCTTGGCACAAAGAAGAAAGCCAAGATGTATTTGCTGAATGGATGAAAGAAGTTATTTTGTTTAATGAATAATATTTGTAAATCCTAGTTTTTCTTTAGACAGATAGTATCATTTTATGTTTTAGCTTGGAGCAGTTTCCTAATTTTTCTCCATGATGCTTTATGTTATGTAATATACCTATAAATGCCTGCATCCTTGTGAAATCTTTATATAAGGACTCAGACTATTTTTACAACAGTCTTAGAAACATGGCTGTTGTTTCTCATGAGTCATTGCAGTGATCTTGACTTTGCCTGTGTAATTATGAGATACCTGATAGCAAACCTCACATTTTTATATCTAAGTCAGGTAAAATATAAGAAGTTCTTTTGGTTTTAAAAACTGATTTATATACATCTTTGATGGCTTTGTACTATAAAAGTTGATAGTTTATATGTTTGAAAATTATATCCTTTTATCTATGTCTAAGGAATGAGGTGTTTTGTCATGGTCTCTGTGGATGCATCATAGTTCTTCATCTAGTGATAGAGCATCTTTTTCAAGACTATGACCCAGAAAATTATCCCTTAAAGTTATTATGGGATTTTATAGATCAAAGACTTAGGAAGTAAGGTATCATTGGTCCTTTTTTAGCAGACTAAAATGTTGGGTGGAGATAAGATGTAACAGAAGATCCTTTGTCTCCATCTTCAGTAAGTCTTTGAAATAGACTTTTCAAAGTCCCCACCTTTACCAGTATCCAAACATAAGCCTTTCACGTGGACTTTCTAAAGTTAGGCAAGACCATGTGAGCATGCCTTGACGATGCTGCCAGCTCTGGAACTCCGAGAACTTCAGGTTTGCTTGCAAAAATCAGATCATGGAAATAAATCCTAGCACATAGATAAACTTCATTAAAGTCTGTTGTGGTCTGAATAGATTCTATCAGTAGGTTGGGGGAGGGTGCTTCTCAGCTAAAGACCTGGTTGCCTGGAGGCCCAGACAGAGCATTATGGTGAGTTACACCTTTTGCCTTGTCTGGTTTTGCTAATGGCCCATGATTTAGGAATAAGGTGATACTTCTGATCAGTAATCTCTGACTTGCTGTCTCTAGCACTTTTTCTCTAGGCTGTACACAGCAGCCCCTCCTACCCTATCCTCCATTACTTTGGGGGTTGCTGTTAGAACTCATTTGGCAGTATTTATTGGGATCTATGCTTCAGACACTGTGCTAGATTCTGGAACTGACTTTGAATAACAGAAGAATTGGCTATTGAGTAGCATGTTTTAAAAAATTAGATTGGATTTAAACAAATTTACGAGTATGGTACCTTCAGGGACAGGGGCCTGTCCTTAAAAGTGTACAGCTTTGGGAATAGGATTCTTAGGATACACACACAAAAGGGTGATTTCTTCTCCCTCTGAACTGGGACTAGAAACTACCATCACAGGGGCCTAGGTTGTAGGAAAGAGAGAGGATTACCCAGCCTCGTAGAGCTTGAGGCCCAGACCCTCCCCAACTCCAAAGGCAGATTGTGGGACAGCTCGGTCTGCTCTTCACCAGCATGCCCCATGCCAGCATTTCTGAGTGACAGCCACATAGACCATCCATGGATGGTGATGCTGATCCTGGAATGCTGATGTCATGAAGCTGGTTCCCCAGGAAATCTTTAGCCTTACACAGGTTGTACATGGCTAGTAAAGACGGCCCAGATGAAACATTTGTTCAGTTTTAACCTTGAATCTTGGGAGACTGACCTTTCTGAAACATTGTAACTTTCAGTTAATGGCCACATGCCACAGAGCCTCCTTGTCCTGAGACTAGTTATAAACCTGATACACATTTCACGTATATACTCCACATACAAGGCCTTTTATTGCTAGTGGATGATCCTGCGCTGATGCTTTCAACTGTCATCATGGTCCAGTAGTCAGCACTAGTGGCTGTATAGTGCTAGACTTCTAGAATCTGTCTCCTGCCCTGAAAGATGACACATGATGACTGGTGAGGGGGCCCAGATTTTGAACCAGCACTCTCAGTCCCACCAGCTCTCCAGCCGTGCAGAGGCTTTTGAGCTATGCAGACTACAAAAGGTTTATTCACACTTTGCCAGCCTGATTCACCCTCTGATGCACTTTTTGAAGGAGAATTGCAGAATTTGCTTGAACATCATTGTGGCCTTTTTAGGGCTGACATGTTTAGTTGAAGTCTCCACATCCATTTAGCTTAACTCTGACTTCTGATTCCCATTTGTGGTATAGACTGAAGCCTCAGATTCTGTACAAAATGTACTATATACCAATTCCTGGAATAGGAGTTTAAGATGAGAAAATAAACTGGCAATATTACTGGCAAAAATTTAAAAATAAAGCACTATAAACTGGGCAGAGATAAAGTGACATTCAGAGAACTTGATTCATGTACATTTATATAGTTATCAAGCAGTATAATTAAGATTTAAACTGAGTTCTTTTCATGAGAATGTATAGTATACTAGGATTCTCTAGCTCCTATGACTAAGGATCAGTCAGAGCAATTAGGTAAAGGCCTACCTTTTTGAATAGGATTTGCCCAGTCTGGCTATTCTTGGTGAACCCTCATTACCCACAAACAAGAGTAAAGTTTGTGTTCAATAGTGTACCAGGAGAGTGGTTAGGGATGCACAGTGCTGATTCTTATGTGTCATTGGTCTATATTTATTGGACAAGATGGGATATTTGAATTTTTATATCAGGTTAGAATTTTAAAATCCTGACAAGAAAGTCACTAAGTTTAGTGTCTAACAGAAAGAGACTTCAGTTCAGTAGTTTCCACCTTCCCATTTTTGTGGTTTCTGAACCTACTTTAAACTTGGCCATGACCAAATAAATGAAGGCCAAAGTGGGTTTGTGTTTATTGGAGACAGATTATAAGCCAGTCTGTAATAAACAAGTGAGGTCAGAAGAAAGATCTTCCTGTTAACAACAGATAAATTGAGTGCTGTTTAACAAGTTGGGAATTTTTAGTTTTTAGTCTTGCTGATTTCGTAGGTTGAGACTTGCTGGTTCAGAGCTAACGGCTTTTGGACAGGCTTGGACCTAAGATTGTGTTAGCTGATCAGGGTTAGAGTGAAGGGTCAACAAGCCATTGTGGAATATTGTCAGAAGCTTCCAGTAAGTTGCCCGTATGTGTATGGAACTCACAGAAGAGTTAGTCTTTGTGTCTTGGGGAAAAGCAGATGAGTACAAGAAGCTATTGAAGAGAGCTAAGTAGAAGATGTGGTTACTTAATAAACCCGTCCCTGGACATCAGGACTTGATAAGGCTCAGTATAATTGAGGGGTGTCCTGGCTTGATCTAGCACCAGGCGTTGCCCAGTGGTGACATAGTCCATAGGGATGACTTAGTAGGGCTTCTTGTCTCTGTTAATTGGGCACTTTTACTCGGTTCATTACTGCTTTGTAGTTATTCAGCACATACTGATATGAATGTCTGACCGTGGTAGCTACTGAGGAGTAACCAGAATCCACAGAGGCCTGCCACTAACATGTTCATTGTGAACAGTCACAATGACACAGGTACTGCAGGTCACATGTGTATAAAAACAATAGGCTGAGTGTTTGGCCTCTGTGATCTGATTGGTGTTCAAATCTTGGCCATTTTCTTTGGCAGTATACCTTCAATAAAAAAAAAATTAATGACTTTACCTCGTTGCTCAACAGTGTTATTTGGGCAGCTGTTTTGTTAGTACTGCAGTGCTTAAAAAAAAGCTCTCAGCAAAGCAGATTATTCTCTCTTTGGGACCTTTATAAGAATTATTTTTATCTAGGTAAAGTGTTCATCATATGAAAATGTTTTAGTGTACATTCCTTTTGGTATGGGGAGAAACATGGCTCTCTAACAGCACTAATATTACTGTCATATCTTCAAAATGCAGAAGAACTTCTAACAGGTTTTAACCGGCTGGTTAGCACAATGGGAGCAAAATACACACTTTACAGGGTACACTGTAAAGAAAACTCTGCAGGTCTCAGAATGTCAAAGCCTTCACTGTCCCTAGTATCTAGAATGAGAAGTGATAAAATGACCTAGTTACATCTACTGGAAGCCATATGTACAAAGACACTGATTTCACAATGGAGTACTGTAGCAAATGATGGCAAACAACCCCAGTGTGCAAATTAAACTAACTGGAACCAATTGTAAAACGTTGCACACAATGTAATGCGGTGAAGTCATTAAAAACAGTGACTCAGCTCTGCATGTAACTGGGCAGTACATAGTGAATTCCCAAATTTTATTCAGTTGCTAGGGGCAGATATGGGGTGGTTGAATTTATAAATTGTTACTCTGCAAGTGTTTGTTTTACAGCCACATTTTTGTACATTTAAATGAGAGCACACATAGTTATTGTTTATGGGTAGACTGTTTCTGGAAGGTTACAGAGGAAGCTGAGAAGTATTTGCCTTCAAGGAGGGCAGTTGGTAGCTGAGGGCGGGCTTAGAAGAAATTGAGGTTTTAAAAATATTTTCATTTGGTGTCTCAATACATTTCAAATCACAAATGTGTATTATGTTAAAAAGGTTTAAAATCATTACATAGGAGATTTGGGCCTGGGGACCAGGTTGAACAATACTGCAGTGTCCAGGGAAATAAGGTGAGGGTACCAGTCAAAGAAAAGGGAAGGAGTGAATGACAGGCCTTGTGCACAAAGCCCAGAGGGCTGTGTGTGCTGCTGGTGGCACATGCCTGCAATCCCAGCATTTGGAATGCTGAAGGCTGTAAGTTCAAGGCTAGTTCACTCTGTATAGCAGGACCTTGTCTCAAAACAGACAAATGAACAAACAAACAATCTAGAAAACCATGAACAAAGAGGCGACAAATGGAAGAAGAAAATGTAGAGTTGTGAATTTACTGTAGAGTTGTGTAGAGGGTGGAGATTTTAGCCATTTATGACGTATTTTTAATTATGGGGAGCAAATGTGGGACTAAAAGGTTTGCAGGGCATGGCAGCTGAAAAGAGGACTTCATTTCTGAACCTTGTGAATTTGAGATAACGGTAAAGAGCTCCTGGGGATGGTTAGCAGGTGATGAGGGGAGATGCTTTTAACACTATTAAAATGGATTTAAATATTTTTTAGTATTGTTTTCATGGCTCTTTCAGAGTTTCTAGTATTTCAAATTCTTCTCCATGCCGTAAGTTTGATTATGGAGTAATGGAAAATTTAGGTTTTAAAAGTATTTTCATTTTGTGATGACAATACAAAACAAGATAATTATTTTGTTTTGAGATTCTCTATTTCATACATGTCCTGGACAAAGCCATTTACTGTTACAAACCAAAGAGCTTGTGCCAAGGGAATGAGACTAATGCATTGTTCCAATATCTGGAACAGTCTGAAAATACTAAACAAATGGTGAAACTTTTAATGTGTCCATTAACTGAAACCACTGATTTACAATGGGAGTGTATGTGACAGCTTGCATAAATAATTTCTGAAATCACCGTGATGCTTTCTGTTACGATTAATACCAAAAAACACAGTTTCTCTTGTTCAGTGTAATATTTCAAATACAGTATTGCATGTGATATTATGTATTTGTAAATATTTTATTCTCGGAAAGTGCTAGAGTCCTATTTTAGTAAAATTACTATTATTATTATTATTATTATTATTATTATTTACCATCTTAGTTACCTTTTCTTTGCTTGGACAAAATACCCAACACCTACAAGAAAAAGGTTTATTTTGGTTCACAGTTTGTGGAGGTTTCAGCCCATAGTTTGCTAGCTCCAAGGCAAGGCAGCGTGGCATAGGGGTATTGCAAAGGAGACACAGCTCAGGAGGTGGCAGTGGGAAGCAGGGAGAAAGGGTGCAAGGCAGGAAGGAAAGAGATAGCCTTTTGCAGGCCATGGCCACAGTGATCCACCTCTTACAACCAGGCTTTACTTCCCAAATCACAGTCAGCTGTAATTGCATCAGTGGACTAATCCATTGGGTATCACACCCTCATGATCCAATCACCCTCCAATGCCCCACCTGTGAGCACATGAGGCTTGGGAGTTGGGAGGGGTATGTATATATCAGCCATAACATTCAACAACACTTTTATATTGTCTTTTTTTTTTGCTTACCTTTAAGGAATAACACAACTATCTATGATGTGAAGATGCAACTGTGCAGCATCCCTGAGTATTACCTTTAAGGAAAAAGAAGTGCACAGCACATGTAGCCTTTTCTGCCCATCCTTCCAGGATGATGTCAGTAACTTCTTGGCCATTCCTTTGTTCTGTAGTAGATGGCTAAAAAGACATTAAAAATTTAATTCTAAATCTTAACTGTGTAGTGTGACCCTGAACCAGTTATACACTTTTCTGTGCCATATTTTTTAATTTGTGTGGACAAAACGAGATTATGTAAGTGGCGTATTCAAGTACCCTGAAAATGATAACTCACAGTATTTGGACTTGCAAAATTATTTTAATTTCAAATGTGAATACTAGAGTCATCCAGATTCCTCACAACCAGCTGGTCACTCAGTTCCGTCACTTCTGTCTCCCAAGAAGCTGTGCTTTTCACCTCTGTCATCTGCTCAGGTCATAGAGTGCTCCCACATGCAGCAGCCTCCTCTCTGTACCCTAACTCATATCCTCTCATTCCTTGTGAAGTTTAATGATTCTGCCCGTCAGCCAGGTGTGCCTGTAATCCTAGCACTCTGGGAGGCTGAGGCATGAGAATTGACAGCTTAGCAATTTTGTGAAACCCTAACTCAAAATGTTTCAAAAAATTATTTTTTTAAAGGACTGAGGATATAGCACAGCACAAAAGCCTTGCATTCAATTTGCAGTACCAGAAATAACAACAAAAAAAGTCTCCTCCTCTTATTCCAGCCATCAACCTGTCTTGTACTACTGTTTTGCGAAGGGCTAGTTTTTGTCTCTTTTTTCCATTGTGCTTAAAGCTCTTTAATAACAGTGCTCCAGGCCCTTTTCGAGCAAATCCATACCCTTTTGCATGGTTAAACTTTTCCATAATTACTCCTCTCCAACTTTATTTTGATTTTCTACCTTTGTGGTCTCATCACTCTATTTCTGATATTTAACTCTTGTTCAGTGCTGTCTTCTGTTTTGTGTGTCCCTTACTTTGCAGTGCCCACACCTTCTCTTTGCTCCTCGTTGGCTTCCCTCCCGTAGATACACACATGACACTGAACTCTCTTATCCTTCCTTCCTTCCTTGGCTGCGTCCCCTCTTCTCACGCAAAGCACCGCTTCTTTCTTTGGTCTTTGTAAGTTGCCCTTTCACTGTGTCCTCTTGGTGCCCTGAACAGTGACAACATGGATCAGGTTCAGATCTGGAAAGGATTTTAGAAGCTGGAAGCTGTGCCAAGTGGTTTGGAAGATGACAGAAGCTAGGTTTGTTTGTCTCTGCTTCCCATTGTACGGGTGTTCCTCAGTTGAACAGACTTGAGTTTCATTTCTGTGTCCCGTGGGCTGCAGTGATTGTGTGGCCAAAAATAAGCACTTTTTCCACTTTCTAATGGATGAAATGATGGATTCAAGTGGAGAATGTCAGTTTTAAACTGTCACAAAAGGTAGCCTTCAGCATATTTCTTCTTTAAAAATGTGATAACTTCTCTAACTCGCCATCTCTGCCCATCATTTACATTAACATACTTTGTTCTGTGGTTGTATTTCGCTTTTACACTACAGTTATGAAAGAGACATGAAGTAAGCAGCAGTAGAAACATGTTAGATGTTAGTGTGTAATTGGGGGGAAATGCTTCAAAGATTAAGAATCGTGTGTTGTGATAGAGAATGAAAGGAGAGAGTTAGGTAAGGTTATCGGGGAAGGGAGAAAATGTTATATACAGTTGTATTGTCTTAAGCCATTAAAATTAGGATAATTTGTTACAGTAACAATAAACTAATGGGAATTGACTAAAGATTAATAAATATAATTTGTGTGAATTTAAGAGAGTTAACACTGATTTGACTCAAACTTTATTAGTCTCCAGAAACAATGGCTTATTACACATTTACATACATAAGTGATGTAATCATATAGACGAGGTTTATGCAACAACACACATATAATAACTTATATATAAAGGATATCCCAATGAGTAACACTTCAGACCTTTCTTGGTGGATTCAGAGAGGCCTCTCCATGCCCTTTTCCTAGGGAAGACAGGCCAGGGACGCACACCCTGCAGAAAGACTGTCTTGGCCGCCATCGTTACAAGTGTCTTTTTATTTTTGACCCTCTGCTTCACCAGAGGCTTCTGGGAATGAGCAGTTAGGTCCGTGAGTTTAAAACACAGCTTTCAATTCTTAATAGCCCCAGAAAAGTGGTAAACAGACTGCTTTCTTTTGCAGATGTAAATTATACAATGTTGATTTCAGTTGTTGATTTGAAAATGTTGAATTCTGCCACCTCGCATATCTTTATTAAATTCTTTTCAAGAGAATCTATTTTTGTTATATATTTGAATGTTTACATTTAAAGAAAAATTTGCTTTTTAGCATTTGTGGTCCCATAGAAATACTGTGTATCAGGGCTCCAGTGGCGCACTGGTTGGCATACGGTACTTATGCAAAAATACCATGTATACAGGGAGAATATTTATAGTGAGCACAATGAAACCTGTGTCACTTTTTTGTTGGGGAAACATATATCAGAATTTGTACTTCATACATTAAGACAATGAGAACATTGTAGAAGGAAGTCAGATTAACTTGGAAGGGCACATTATAATGAAAGTGTAGCTCCTTAGTGGAGAAGGAACTTTTATGAATGAAAGTGATATTAAGCAGATTTGAGGCTCAGAGACTTTGACAATAAGATTTGATAGCTCTCTCTAGCTTAGTGCATTCCATCTTGTCAATCGGTGGTCAGAAGTCTTTTTTTATTTTTACTTTTTATTTTAAAGGAGAAAAACAGTAAATAGAATGATACAGAAGTTTAAAACAAGATAATAGGAAATTAACAATGGTAGGGATTTTCAAATACATAGGTCATTTCCCCCCCTTTTAAATAGTTGTGACAAATTTCAAATATACATAGTCTCAGAATAACCATGGAATATACCCCACTTCCCCACAGCTCCTAGTATTGTCTAGATTTTTGTACCACCTGCTTCATGTTTTTATCTTTTCCTTATTTTAGTAAAGCAGAATTTTCACAGCACAGCACTTCTGTCTGCATTCTTTGTATTCATCTCTAAAAATATATAGTTGCCAGATTTTAATTCTTTATTCTTTTCCACCTTTTTTCTGAAGCACAGAAACTGTGAAAGAGAAGAATCAGCTAAAGGAGGCACTGTTTTGCAGTTCAGTATTGTGTAGTAAATTGAGTTTCTCCTTAGTGTAAGTTAGTTTCATTTACATAAGGGATGTATTATCGAATTGTGGACAGTTCATTTTTCTCATCAATATATTGTGATTAAGTTAATTCATACTTAATTTCCAGAGATAATGGAACAACCAGTTGATACTGCTTTTTTACCTTAAGTCTGTAGTCAAGTATTCCTTTAGAGAAAGCCATACTCTTAGCAAAAATGTTCTGTTTTTCAGAGGTCTTCCCTCCCTCTGTGATTTCATTGATGTCTCAATTATTCATTGAATAATTGTGTTGTATTATGTACTTAACAAAAATTTTCTGCCAGACATTATTTTCAGGACTCAGAGTTATTTGTAGAACCCTGTCACAAGTGAGTAGTGTTTCATGTCTATAGCGCAGAATTTTCAGTTATCTTTTGTCAATCTATATAGATAATTACGTGACTTGTAGTCTGATTTTTAAAACAAATACTGCCTCTAGAAGATGCTTAACTTCTTTTTGGGTAAATAACAGGATTGGTGTAGCTGTCCTCATGTTTATGACAAAGCTTCATTCCATTTTGAGTGCCTGTGGAGATATTTTGAAATTTGAAACTCCTACACTTAGTGACAGCAATGCCCTCTCCCCCAGGATCAGAATTGTTACTCAGCTATGGAGACTGATTGGTGAAAGGATGGTCAGCCCAAACCAAGGGTCTGACTTTCAAAGATCTCCTTTGACTCTCAGGAGTAGGTTTGTTGATGTACAGATCTAAGCATGGCTCTGTGCTGGCATCTGAATTGAATTTTAGTCATTGTGAAAGGGAGTGGGGGAAACCTTAGTTCAACTACCAAGCAGTGTAATTTAGTTTCCTGTTTACTTAGTAAGAGGCATAGCAGAATTTCTTTATAAATTTCACCTATAGATTAAAAACGAAGTTGTTGTAGTTGTATGGGTTACCAGTCAACCTCAGTTGTATCATTCATCTGTTATATCTTTCTAAGTTACTTTACCTCATCGTGAAATTTGTGTCTGACAACTTTTAGAAACTACTTCTTGAGCAGTTAGTGTACATCACATAGTACAGTATTCACATCTATAAAATAAACATGAGTGGTAGTACACTTGTATTGTGAAGTCTTGTGATGAAATCCTTTCTTAAGCCGAAATTCTATTCTTCACTTAAATTATACTGTCTGTTGAAAATATCTGTGGCATTGTCTTTGATCATAGTGCCAAAATGGCATTTATTATGACATAGTACTTCTTCCATTATATAGGTCATATGATATAATATAATTTCTTCTATTAAAATTCAAGTAACCTTGGAAGAAATATGCATGAGACCTTTATTATCTGTTAATACCTTAGAAAAATTGACTTCTAGGTAAATAATTATCATCTTAGAAAATAAATGGGGCTTGAGGCAACAGCATAATAAAGTAAGGAAATACTATCCCTAGAAGTCAAATGAACTGGAAGAGCTGATGTTGGTCTGCATACTTAAAGGTTCCTAGGGACCACTAGGTAATATAAATGTACTATGTGGATACTGAAGAAAGTCAATTTAAGGTGCTTGTGCTTGTACCTCTCTAAATATGATAGATTTTAAGCCTTTTTAAAAAAAAAAAAAAAAAAACACTGTTGATGGTCTTAATTTTGTGAATTCTACTATATTACTTGGGGTGCAATAGATGGACGGCTATTTCAGACTGGCCCTACACAAAGGAATTCTATTGCAGATGGATGAGAACACTAGGCGTTTGGATCAATAGGGTGCTGAAAAGTACTTAAGAGTACTTTTTCTTTGGACATAGGTTAAATCAGATTCTGCCTTTACTAATAAGAAAGTTGGACATTTCCCTTGAAAACAGAAATGAATCCAAGTCACCTGTGTAACTTTGCTATAATAAGTTTAACATTACATCTGCCACTGTCTTCATCTCTCCACACCACCACCACCACCAAACCAGGACTTTGGTTCTACAGGTACATTTCAGAGTTTGGTTGGGTCTATCTTGATTCAGGTGCACACATGCTGTTGCAGACCTGAGCTGAATGGTAGAGGGACCCAGCTTACAGTGGGAAATATGAGTTTCTTTTCTCCCAATAGAGTCACTTCAGATGCATGATCACATTGCAGTTAGGCACATTTATGTTGTCAAGGTGAATTATTTCCTTCTATAAAAAAGAATGAAAAAGCAACATACATAATTAAAGAGTTGCATATAGATTTTCTTAGGGAGGATGGAAGAAGTATATTAGGACTGAGCGGTTGGCAGCTTCAGCAATTCCAAAGCTGGTGTTTAAAAGGCACATAATTATATATGATTAGACTGTAACTAAAGTAAAATTATATTCCTAAGCGGTAGTAAATACATACAATAAAAATTGCTAAAGCACAATTGAATTTTCTACTTGTGCTTTCCAATAAGGGCAATTTTGTATTAATCACTAAAAATACAGTGAGTCCTACAGTAGGGCAGATGAAATCAGTTTGTTAGAAAGTACTTTAGCTAGAAATAATAATTTTCTAACATAAAAAGTTGTTGGCCATTTAAAATGACCAGAGCAGGTTATAGAATTTGCTTCACTGCAGAACCAAAACCTTATTTAAAATAAGTAGCCATCTGCCTTGAATAGGTATGCAACCCACTGGAGATGACACACTGAGTTCTTTCAGAGCTATAGAAGGACTTTGATGCTCTTAAGTTTTGCAAGCCCTTTTTTACATTTGGTTCTCCTGTTATGGTAAATATAAACGCATGCAATAGGGGATGTCAATTTTTTCTAAATTCATTGGTTGATCTTTTCCTTATATCATCTAAGGAGATCAGTATGTCATTACCATTATTCCTCTGTTGCTGATCTGCTGGTCAGTGACTATTTTGTTGGTTTCTGACTTAGGCTCATTTGACTTTTATGTTGGGCCACACTGAAACCAAAAATATGCACATGAAGAAAAAAAATTTGTAAATACATATGCTCTTTCTGTCACTGCTAATAAAAAAGTGTTTTGCTTACATTTATTGAGCTTTGACTAACATTGTAACTACCGCATTCTTTATCCCACATACCAGAGGAGAAACTGAGGCTTAGAGAGCCTGGGAACATGTCCACAGCCAGATAGGCAAGCCAGGGTACTGATGGGATCCAGACTAGCTCAGTGTGGCTACAGAGTTATGCCCTGAATAACTCTGCCTTTATAATAGGTATTTGAAGACTAACAGAGCCCTTTAATTCACTTCTCTTCATAAGCTTCTTTTCTTTCTTGCCTTTTTTTTTTTAAGATCTAACATTGTGGTAAATATCTTTAGACTCTGAATCTCAAACTTGGCTGTGCTTGGGGAATCAGCTGCATGTTTGGACATTCAGATTTTTAAAAATCTTCCAAGTGAAGGCTAGGGACATAATTACGCACTGGGGTGCCTAGCATCTGGAAAGTCCTGGATTCAGTCCCCACTACCTTATATCAGCCAGTCAGACAGTCAGTCCTCCAGGTGATCGTACTGCTTAGGAACAAGACAAAATTTTAAATTCTAAATTCTGTCAGCAAAAATTAAATAATGTCTTTATTACAGAAATACTGTATATTTGCTTTAGAAAATAGAAGCAAATCAAAAAATTAGTTAAAAGGATCTGTAATCCCTTAACAGTATATCTTTATTTTTTTTTCCTTTTGGCACTGTGTACATTTTTATAGTTTTAATTAAAAATTACTATTCTGTAGAATTCTGTATATTTAGTACCAGGTTCCATTTTATGTTTGATAGCATTTGTATATTTGACCAGGTTCAGAAATTCTTGATTCTTATATATACATAATCATATCATTTGACCAATCCTTATAAACTGGTGAGTCTCAAAGTGGAACAATATTTCCATTAATAGGGAGTTTGTACATTGTGTGAAGCACTGTAAACTAAAGTGATTTAGACGTCCCTCTTTTGCTCCCTAGTCTTGTATGCCAGTTTTCCAGACAAATTTGTCTTTTATGTTCTTCTTACATCCTTTAGAGACTCTTAAGGTAGAGCCCACGTGGTTTTTTCCTGGCTCTGGAATTCAGGGAATGCTCAGTAAATGCCTGAATGAATGGACAGATACGTATGTTCCAAGATCTCAGGGGAGATCATAATTCAAAAAAATTAATTAATGAAGTAAGTTCAGATATGCCTGAAAAAAGCCGTTGAGGAATTTTAGGGTAATAGGAAGAGACAGTAAGAGTGGAGTGGAAATTGATGAGAGTGTTATAGTTTGTGTCTGGATGCCCCCCTTAGTCTCATACAGTCATGGGGGCAGGCTTCTAGAATTTATGATTGATTCTTGGTCCAGTGCTGGGATGATGGGTGTTAGTGCTGCTCCCAGCCTCAGTGGGGAGCCTACATACAATATAAAGCACAGAAAGAGTCTTCTCTCTGTGCTCCTTCCTTTTTGCTCTTGTTGCTTTTACTATCTTCTGCCGCCATGAGCAGTTGCCCCTCTGCCATGCCACCCTGCCATAGAGTCAGCTGATTATGGACTGAAACCTCCACAGACTGTGAGCTAAATAAACTTCTCCTTTCATTTTGATTGTTAGGTATTTTGTCTTAGCAGCAAGAGAAAAGTAACTGAGATAAAGCGTAACAAAGCCTTCTGGTTCCAGAAACCTCCCAGATTTGGTCCCTAATGCATTCATACTCTCCTGGGTTATAGTATGCTCCCCCACTATGGGGAAGGGGCTGGGTTATGGCCTTTTCCCCTGGCCTACTCGGTCATAATAAAGAGGCTGACTCAGATATATTTTCAACTAATTGGCCGAATTTCTCTTCCTCCAGCACTGTCTGAATAAAAATTTGATAAACTTATGTTGTGTAATGGAGTTCAGTTTAGGGAATAACCAGAGTCTGTTAGCAACGAGGAGCTCTAGTGGCATGGTTGGTTAGCTCGGGCTAACACTGGTCAGCACCTGTGACTGCCCAGGTGGTAGGGAGGAGGTTGAGAGTGTGGCAGGCTGAGCATGGCAGGCCCACTGCAGGCCAGCCTAACGCAAAAGAGCCAATCTGGTCGATGTGTAGGTTTGCTGAGAGATCTGGGCGTGTTGTGAAGCAGCCCAGACAACTGTGGGCCGCTTGTGGAGGTATTTTGGTAATGTCGCCACAGAGCCAGACATCTTTGCATTATATGATTGTGAAGGATTTAGTTTTCATTCTGACTCCTTATAATGTAATTTTATAATCACAGTCTTAATTATAATTAATCACAAAGCCTATACGTCAAAACAGTTAGCATTTCTTTTTGCCTCAGAAAAGCTTTACTTTTGAGTGAAGATACATTGTTGGTCTTTACTTATTACTGTGTATTTTAAGACAAATTTTTATGAAAAATGAAGCGTTGTAAATGTATATGTGTACTTTCATCATCATAAGTTATTTACATAACTGAGTTATACATACTGGAACTCTTTTGAATTGAGTCATTTGGATAGTTTGAAAAACTCTTAAAAACTAGAACCTATTTTGTTCTCCCTTTTTTGCTGAATTCACACTGACAGTTAAAGACTTTCAGTTTAAAGGCATTAAAGGTGGTTAAAACCATCAGTCATCATGCCCTACTTAAAGTTTAACAAAGAAAAAATCAAAGAATGGAATAGTAAGCTTAGTTTGTCTCAAAATGTTGTTCTTATGATAAAACCCTAATAAAAGAGAAGGAATCCTTATAGTTACATCATATAGGATAGCAAAAAACAAACAAACACTAGTGGCTATACTTACTCAGATAACAGTGATTCAGGAGATTTCTGGAATGCTGCACCAACCGCTGGGGCCAGGAGTATATTATGCTACATTTGATGAGCTGTCCTAGAAAAACATTCTGAAGCAATAAAGCATCCATTTGGCTCCTAAGTAATGATGGAAGCATTGCTCTTCACATTAACTATTTATTCAGGAAGAGAAGTGACCAACTGCTAATATTATTCAAACAGAGTCATTTAAAACAAAAGAAAACGGGAAAGTGAGGTTCTCTTTGATTTCATGTGCATTAACCAAGACCCAAAGTGGAGTGGTTGGAGTCCCTGTACCACGTGGCTTTGGCTGACTACATATAAGCGCAAGTGTCTGTCAGATGTAGTAAAAGCTTCTGGGCTTACGCAAGGACAGTGTGGCCTAAACCAGTGACAGGACAGGAAGCAATGACTGGTGAGTGGCTAAGATTGGACTGATTTTTCTCTTATGGAAATGCAGACTTGTTTTCTAAGACCTGTGACAATGATTTAGTCTCGCTAGTTTCCTTCTTTTGAAAAGGATCCCTAATTTTTTTAAGAGATGATTACTTTCTTTCCATTCCTTGTGAAATCTGCTCGATAATGCAATATAATGTTTAGATTTATTGCTTAACCTGGGAAAGTTTTATGTTTGCTATATAAATAAATCTGTAATGTTATTTGGAAATAGTTGTGAGCTACAGTTGCAATGTTTTGCTCTTGTTCTACAGGTACAGAAATGGTTCTTTTTTTACAAAAATATTTAGGATTTAGTAACTTCAAGGTTGCAACCACTGTATTTAAATGCAAATAAGGGTTTCTTTGAAGTCAATTCAGCATCTTTGAAGCCATTTTTGTGCTATAACAGCTTGAAGTTTTCACTGCACTTGCTTTAAGGTTCTTAATGCAGTCAGTTTGCTTATTTTAGTTAGTAGCATACAAAAGATGAAAGTCACAATTATTTTCTTCCTTAAAGGCAACAAATGTATTTTTATGCTAACTCTTCTTCCGTACTCCAATAAAAAGTAATACTGTAGATTTCTACACAGTAAAAAAGGAAATCCTTCCTATAAATCACATCTAAATAAGCAGTAGAATTGATGTGTAAACTCAGCATTACTTGACTGTTACCAGAATTTTCAGGATACCATAATAAATCAATTAAAAAATCATTTAATATTGTATTTCTTTGATTTTTCTACTTAAAAATATTTTCTATATTGAAAATTATGCATTAGTTCTACATTAACTATATATTACTATGAACTATATTTAAAATCAATTTTAAGTATATACTGCATGAAATATGAAAACATTGTTTATTTGGGCTCATAGCCTTTAGAAAATGGCTAAATAACCAAATAATGGAAATGTAATGAGATCAAAGACAAGAAAAAATTCCAAAAATTTCCCTTTTGTTCAACACATTATAACATACACACAAAAAAAAATTCACCTATGTTACTGAGACTCTTATCTTCTTTATGAAAGAAATAAAACGATCATGTTAGAAATGGAGCTGCCTCCTAAAACATTGGATTTTCCATTAATTCTTTTTGTTGGTTATTAACAGTCATTACACTGAAGTATCCCTTTCAGATAATCACTCCATTCAGGAGGCTAATGCTGTGTGCTGAGAACAGAAAAGAGATGGAGGATTGGATCAGCTCACTGAAGTCTGTACAAACCAGAGAACCTTACGAGGTAAAACAGCACCTCTCTGTTGTTTTTTGTTCTTAGATCATAAACATTAAGCAAAGAGCTAAAGCAGTACTGTTCCCTTCCCTTTTTATGTGTAGATTTATTCAGCACGTTCTTTAAGCCAGATTTTCTTTTTAAGTTAAACTGTTTCGGTGTTAAAAGTAATGGATTTGAAAATGTAACTACAGTATATACTTTCTAAATAGTTCAGCATCTCTTACCTTATTTCTTGTTTTTTTTGTTTTGCCAATCTGTCCCAACGGTTCCTTCCTAGGTGGCCCAGTTTAACGTGGAACATTTCTCAGGGATGCACAACTGGTACGCCTGCTCCCATGCCCGCCCCACCTTCTGCAACGTCTGCCGAGAGAGTCTCTCTGGAGTCACTTCCCATGGCCTGTCCTGTGAAGGTACTGTAACACCCCATTTGTGTACTGTCCCCGTAGTAATGGTACCACAGACGTGCCACTGTTGATTTTGTGCTATTTTAAGAACAGACACTCTCCCCACAGGAAAACACTGCCTGTGGCTGGAAGCATCTCAACTGGAACACAGTGTTCAAGCTTTGCTGTAGCTCAGTGTTGCACTTTGCACACATAGGACTAATTTGGGAAGCACTGTTGCTCTGGGAAAGATAACATAGAATCATCCGAAAGGAAGTGTAAATCAAAATATAGTACTGCACCCTTAAGGAATTAGGAACTACCATTTAAAAAATGTTTTACTCTGATGGATATTGGAGAACAAAACTTTTATTCAGGACAGTTTGTGTTTGGCAGAATTACTGATTGTTATTTCTGTTGCATTACTGAAATAGTTATTTAAATGAACATCATCTAATTTATGACTTAATTTTGCATTGATGTGGATTCAACCCAGGGTCTCATGCATGCAAGGCAAGCTCTCATCTACTGAGCTATACCCAAGGCCCTGATATTGTTTTAATTTTTGTAAGTTTTCTAAAAATAAAACCCATGCAGCTGTTTTTGCTATAGAATTTTTGAGTCATTTTTAATTTTAGGAGCAGTAACTACCAAAGATAAATGCATTAATACTTACCTAAAACTTCATTAGGTGTAATTTTGTGCCTCGGAGGTGAGGTATGTAAGTGTTGTGAATTGCTTTTTGACCTATGTGTAAAACCAACATGCCAACATTAGCTTTTTTCTCTAATACAAAAATATCTTAAGTAATTTTGAGTATAAATAATAGTAAATAACAGTCAAAATTTTACTTGATTTTAAATAGTGAAATCTGTGATAACCATCAGCTATTTCTGATGATGCAGTGCGGTAATGAAGAACAGAAAGGAACAGAACAGGTGCAACTTTTTTCCATTACCATCATTACAAATGATTACCAGGAGAGAGAGTTAAACACACTTTTAGTCTCCTTTCCTCATCTGTCAAATGGTGATGATAGTCCTTTGTCTCATAAAGTCACTATGAAAATTAAATGAAGGGATACATCCAATAAAATTACTTCTATAGTCCATTGAATTGTGGAAGTTTGCAAAGATATTTACCTAATACAGTATATAAATTCAGATTACATCATTAACTTGATGCATTAAAATTCATGAAAGTAAAAATTTGGAGAAGTGATTAAACATTTGTATTTTAGACATAAGAAATGATTAGAAACAAAGATAAATTTGGTATTTCTGTCTTTAGTAATCCCAAAGGGTTCATATGAATCTGAAAAATCCTTCCAGGTTTGTAATGTTGCATCATGTTATTTTGAAGATCTTTTAGCTGCTTTTTTCTACTGTCTCATCCCAAAAATACAAAAAAATAAAAAATCACGAAGTCTGAGATCAGATCTTTGTGATTTGAGATTGACATTATTCAATGCATTTAATTATATAATAATTGAGTCAATAAAAAATGAATATTTTTCTAAACATTTTCATAGAAAAATAAAAACCACTTAAATTGACAATAATAAGAACTTTAAAAGCCTTTGTAAATATGTTATATGCTTCTATAAGTAATGTCTTCTTTTTTTTAAGCTCATCATTGGATTTAAAAATTTATTTAGAAGATTATGTCTGCTACTGGTAATAGGTTTTTAAATCTGCAATATCTTGAACATTTGTATTTTTAGAATTATAGCATAAGTTCATTTTAAAATCCCTAAGTTTTTGTAAATGTGGAAAAGTTGCCTTTTTAATGAGAGCCTGGTTCTTCTGAAAATCCTTATCATAGTTTAAATTAAACTCTAAACTTCTTCCTTAAATATGAATAAATTACTTGCTCGGTAAAACTGACAACATTGCATTCAAGAGTCTTAAAATGTAGAATGAAAGGTCTGGGGATGTAGTTCAGAACTACAGTGCTTGTCCAACATGGGTGAGGTGCTGGGTTCAGTCTCATCATCATAAAAAATAAGTTGTATTGGAATCGGAAATACAATAAAAATTTACTCAGTAGTAACAGTTAGTAACTCGGTGTCAGCAGTGAAATCCATCGAAGCCATCACTGAATTTATTGGCTCTCTCTGTTCTTGTTTTTGACCATAGAATGAGGCTAGGCTGCTTTGTCTCCTAGATTTGTGTTGAGTAATAACTACAATTTTAAGTTTTGTAAATATAAAATGTTGATCAAAATAGAAGACTTAAGATTGTTTTCATAATTCCTAAATTAATTGTGAATGTTAATTATAACTTCAGAGCATAATTTTCCTTCATGGTTAAACAGTAACTTCACAAAAGAGTAAAATGGCAATCCTTTAAATCAGCAACACCAAATATGTTAGCATGGATACCAGGTACTTATGAATTTTTATCTGTAGTTTAACACAAAAATTCACTGTGGTAAAGACTAAATATTGCAATAAAAATCATACTTTTTCATATATTTTTAAGCTCTCTAGGTTTGAATATTATCTTTACAGCTCAGAGAAGAGTGCGTTATTTGAGAATAACTTGTAGGAGGATTTTAATTACCACTCAACAAAATGAGGGTGCCCATTAATTATTTTCATTTCTTAGTGACCAAAAGCAGTCTGGCTTATTATTATTATTGTTGTTATATATTATAATAACTGACTTTATAAGTCACGAGACTCATTACATGAGACACTATTATTACAAAAGTGTGATTTTATTTTTGATGAGCTGTTTGATATTTTAATGTAAATTTTTTTAAAAAGCCATGAAAGGATTGGAGACATTGCTCAGAGGGAGCATAGCCCGGCCCCTAACATGGCTTCACTTGAGAGCACCAGTAGTGGGAGGTGACATGAAATGATACCCTGCTAGTCTTATACATCCTTCTCTTCCCTATTAAAAATCAGATACTAATAATATCAAATATGTATTTGTACTTGTAAGGTAACTGAGAGTCCTTTTAAGTTTTAGGGCACTGCTTTTGAGAAATACCCTAAGACCTAGAGACACAGGTGATAATAAAATTTTTCCAAGCTAAGGTTACTTCTGACAGTGCCTTGTCTTCACCCTTATTATCATCAACAAAGTTCAATTAAAATATCATTTTCTGTATGAAGTTGTGTTTGCGTCTCATAGTTATAACAAAAAGAACATTATTGTCAGGAAGAATTTTTCAAAGTGTGCATAAGAGGTTCAGAGCACTAAATGAAATATTTCAGATGTGTATAGACCAATATTTTTAAAAGACAGACCAGTTCAGCTAAGTAGCTGTTTGTGAATAGGCTTGTCATTGTAACCTGAGGCATTTTGAACATTTGATTTCTAGACATCTTAGTTATTTTAGTTGAACCTTTCATTTTCATATGCATCAAATTAGAATTCTTCAGAATGTGAAGTAGGTAAAATTGAAAATTTGTTAATGACTTAGAATTTTTTAAAAGTCATATGAAGAAAAGCCATCTTACATTTAAATTTAGTAACAGTAACCTTCTTAAAACCACTGAAATGATCTCTACTTTTAGCTATTTATCTGACAAGTCAGAAACTGATGCGTGCTGAGCATCCACTAATGCTTGGAGAATTTGTATTGTTAGACAAATAAATGTGTTCAATAGTAGTCAATCTCTATTTTTCAAAACTATGATTAATTTTTCGGTTAACGTGTGGTTTCCTTATCTTCCCATTTTATGCTGTTTCTTTCCTTTCTCACTGCTCCTTTTATAACCCCTTCTATGGTCTTGCAGCTAGGAAGAGCCGGGGAAGGCAGTAGTGGCCGTATTAATTCATCATTCCTCCTGTCCGCGTTTATGATACAGTCCTCTCAAAAGACAGCACCATCTTTGTGGTCCTCTTCAACCCATTTTCCATGATGCCTGGTTGTTTTCTTCCACTTAAATACTCCTCTGAATTATCTGTCTGTTACTTATGTTTTCAGACTTATTAGCAGTTACCAGAACTGTGAAACTTGATGAGTTGTCCCAAAGTAAACATGTAATCATCTCCCAGATTAAGAAATAGGGTGTTTCCAGAACCCTGATTACTCTATTTCATTTGTGTGCGTCGGTGCATGTTTCTCCCTTCTCAAGAACTCATTCTTTTGTGTTTATTTCGTTTCTGTTCTTCTCGGTAACAGTCTGTTAACTTTGTAAGTTCTTCCTAAATACAAAAGCATATGAGCTTTTAAAAATACCATTAACCATCACTGGAGATCAGTTTAAACTTTTTAAAACATTTTTCTTTTCTCCTTTTCAAGTCTTCTTTTAGAATTTCATGCTGTGATTTCCTTTAATCCTTGGTGGAAAAGAAATTGTTCCCTTTAAAATGCTGGCTTATTTCAGTTTATTGTTTTTAGTGTGCAAATTCAAGGCTCACAAAAGATGCGCCGTGCGAGCAACAAATAACTGCAAGTGGACCACGCTGGCCTCTATCGGGAAGGACATCATGGAGGACGAAGATGGAGTAAGCCACTTTCTCGCTCAGCCCTCACCCCTCTCCCTGCTCGCTGCATGTCTGCTCTTTTGAAGGACAGTGAGTGATAGACAGAGAAGTGAAAGTGGAAAATAATGACGGTTCAGCAAGAGAGTTTATCATTAAGATTTAGCTCAGCGGAATAAGCACCTGCCTTGGAAGCAGGCAGTCGTGAGTTCGATCCCCGGTACCGATAAAAAAAAGGAAAAAGACAAAAAAAAAGAGAGAGAGATGTTAGTTGCTTCTGAGTTTTTATTTTCAATTCATTACTTCGTAGCTTCCGTCAGCGCTTGTATTTTGAGGGAAATGAGTCATGAGTAGGGTCTAGGAGGGACTGCTGGGCAGGACTGGTGTACAGACTCTGACCTGCTGAACTCTGTGATCTTTAAAGCCCAGCAGAGATGATCGCTCTTCAGATTCTGGAGTTTCCTCTCAGCCATAACCCCGGTGCTGCCTTTGTTGTGCCTTCCATCCAAATCTCTGGTAGCCCTTGGTGACCCTGCTTTTCTCTCGGCTAGCACTCTGCATGAATCTTAAAGGGGCGGGCTTTTCTTACCCTTGTATTCCAGCAGGGTCAGGCACAATAGATGCTCAATAAATGGGAGAATAAATGAGTGAATGCCACGCGTGATGCGTACTGTTGAGTCCACAGAGTAAGCAACCATTCCGTATCTTCCCTAGGGTAAGAATGGTGTCCTCCACAGTCTTCACTTTGGCTGCCCTTTCTCCGTGCCCCACAGGTTGCGATGCCTCACCAGTGGCTGGAGGGCAACTTGCCTGTGAGCGCCAAGTGTGCTGTCTGTGACAAAACATGTGGCAGTGTTCTTCGTCTGCAAGATTGGAGATGCCTTTGGTGTAAAACAATGGTGAGGGTTTGGAATGGTTGTTTCCCAAAGTCTCCTTCCTGCGGTTTATTGTTCTCCCTGTGCTTTCCCTGAGCAGTGCTTTGCTGTCTCCAGGCCTATTTTACCACCTCGTGCATGCAGTGGACTCGTTTCTCGTGTGTCACCAGATTTTAGTTGACATTAAAAATACAATTTTGCTGCAGCCCCTTATGTCTAGTAAGCTATGCACTGATATGATTTAAATTATATATGTTTACATTATACAAATAAACATTTGCGTGTGTAAGGAGGAAGTGAAAAGCACATTAAAACGTGAGTCAGCAGCAAGGAATGGACTCATGTAAGCCACGCAGCAAGGCCGAGCCTCTGGGTTGCGTGAGGACAATCAGAAGAAGATGCAGATGGTGATGAGGAGCTAAATGCCCTCAGGACCACGATGCTATTCCTGTCCATGCTCTTCTTATTTTGTTATTGTCTGTGCTGTCCTGCAGCACCGACACTGCTTAAATTGAGTCACTCAAGTAATAGCTTCGGTCTTGACTGGTCTTTTAAAGTTACTGGTTCAGGTTTGGAAGTCAGCCTAATCTTTACCAATATGGAAAAGCCAGTCTTTCTGGTGAGTATGATGTAGATAAATAGGCCCAAAAGATGTGAATGCGATGTATCAGTTTCCTGATCCATGAGATGGACTGCTTGTATCCCAGAGGACAGTAAGTCCTACAGTTTTTCTGTGAGGGCTGATAAGTTGTCTATGATTCCTTTTAGTTTTTAAATTAAATAGGATTCAGTGTGTGCTGATAATTTTGTTATTCTTCATCAGTTGCTTCTTTTATTTGCCTATAGTTATGTTGATTTTTAATTCTTTATTCAGTTAATACGTAGATTATAACAGGCGTCTGTTGTTTGGACTTTGGAGTGTATCGCTAATTCATGAAGGCCTCTTATGCCATTCTTATTTTAAAGGGACGCTGCTCATAAACAAGAATTTAAATTATCCTCCTATTTCTTTGTTTGGGAATAAGCACTGATGTAATTTCCTACTATTTTTATTAGTACATTTATTTACTGAAGTTTACTTCTTTACTCATTGAGCTTCAGTTGTTCATTTCTAGTTTCTTTGACATAAAACATACCATGTGAGATGATTTAGACAAATTGTATATGAATTGTTTTTATCTGCATATGTATGCATTACATATTTAGCCAGTAGTTTCTAAACACTGCTAACCTTAACAGTATGTTCTCTACTTGTTCATTTTATTCATCTCTAACTTTAAATGAAATCACGATGTATTGTAAACATTTAGTAATAAAAGTAAGAAGACTTTTAAATTATAAAAAGTAACAGTTTCTAGCCCTGAATGGTGGCAGGCACCTTGGATCTTCTATAATTTGTAAGCTGAAGGAGGAGGATCACAAATCCAAGGTTAGCCCGAGCAATTTAGGGAGACCCTGTCTCAAAGTAAACAATAAAAGAGCAGGTAAAGCATGCCTGGATTTGTTTCTCAGTGCTGAAAAAAAAAAAAAAAGAAGAAGAAAAAGAAGGAAAGAAATGTTTCTAAAGTACAGGCTGTTTTTATTCCTGTAAACAGTAAAAAAACCAAGCTCAGTAACAACAAAACCCAAATCCAATAGGCCATAGATCCACAACTGTAATAATCCAACTTGTAATTTTAGATACAGCAAAAATACAGTTTTATCTTCTGCTCTTTTTACTTAGCATTATTGTAAATATCTTTCCATTTTGCTCCAAGATTCTTAGACATTTTTAACTCCTTTTAAAACTATCCGTGCATACTAGTTTTTCTAAAAATGCGTTTGTGTTGTTAATTATTATAAACCATGATAGGCAAGTGGTAAAAACCAGGTCATCAATAGAATAAGAATCACTGTTGAATCTCAGATATCTTCTCAAAAGTTTTAATAAATAGAAGTTTATTTAGTATACCAGTTTCTTAAATAACTGAAATAAAGATATATAAAATAAATGGTTCAGGAAACATATGCTTTTGCTAGTTAAAACACTTAGAAGACTTTCTAGGTAAATACATAAAGAATTCTAGATAGCCCAGCTCCTAATCTGGGGTTAGCCCTGCTTTATGCTGCACAGTTTCTTGAGCGACCTTGAAGCTTTTTGTTTCTACAGAGTTAGCACATTCACTGTAGCCTTTACTGTGTGTCATTTCTTTTCCATTCAGAGCAGCGGCTCAGTTGAGAAAATAAGCATTAATGTGCTTGTAACTAATACTACAAACTGCCATGAAAAATGTGAATGCAAGTTACAGGGTCCCTGCAGGAAGGCGCACAAGCACATTAATCTTAGTTGTTTGTTAGAATTTTTATAAGGTAGAGTCCATCGGTGTGTGCATGGTATTGACTTACGGCTAGTGTCCCCACTTTCTCCCTCTTTCAGTGTGTCCTTTTTCTTTTCCTCACTCCCCTTCCCCCTTCTTTTTCTTTGGGCATCCTCTCTTCTATTCTTCTCTCCTTGACTGCATCAGGCATTCATGTATCTCTCTGTATATCTTGTTTGAGACAATCGCACAGACTGCACAAACCCAAATCAAATTCCCATCCCTAATATGCTTAGTCTGTTCCTTGGAAGTATAAATATAGTGACATTAAAGTAATTTATGAATTACTAAACATTTTGTGATGCCATTGATACCAAATTGTTAGTTCCGTAGATGGAGTTTATAACATAGCAAAACGTTGATTTGTTTTTATGATTCTTGAAGGTTTGTTTATTTGCTATTAGGTACATACTGCCTGCAAAGATTTATACCACCCTGTATGTCCACTTGGCCAATGTAAAGTATCTATCATACCTCCAATTGCACTGAACAGCACTGATTCTGACGGTATGTAACAGTAGTGTAAGTATGTATATTTCTGGTATATTTAATGCTGCTGTATACATTTATTTTCCTAGAATACATGTAATTGTAATTGATTATTCTGATCAATTTTTCTATAATCCATTTAAATTGCTGAGCAGTACATTTAATTTTTAAAAGAATATTTTCAATGGAGTTTGTAAAATAGCTATTCACACATTGGTAAAATTACCTGTAAGACTGTTAGATTTTACATTTCAATAAATTAAGATCATTATTCAATACTAAAAGGCAATCTAGAAAGATTAATTTTTTTCTCGTCATCATTGAGCACCACGGCTGTTACTAAAATTTGTCTCCTGTCATCTGTATTCCTAAAAATATAGTCACTTTTTCCAGTATTCCAGGTTGTTTGTTTGTAAATGCTGGTTTGGGGACAGCATACTATTAGTTATAATTTCCTCTAAACAGCCACATGAACAAGGGCTTTTACTATATACCATTATTAATGTCTTATGTTAACCTCGTGCTTTATTCTTTTCAAACTTTTTATAAGAATTTTTCCAGTGTTTATCTTAGATATAAATATATAAAGTTTAAAGGATGTTACTTTTTTTTAGCCTGTGCTATTGCTAGCTCCATTCCCCAGTATTGTTTGTTATAGACTTTAAATATTTTCTAAGACCTCAGCAAGGAGGAGTTAAAATACTTTAAATACTAATTATAAACATGGATTCTTGGGCCAGGGATTCTTGGCTCAGCAGCATAGTGCCGGCGTGGCAAGTGTGAGATTATGTTCCATTCTCAGAACAAAAAAAAGAAAAAAGCATACATTCTTTGATAAATGTGTATTCATAGGCTGTAGTTAGTTTTTATTATAAGTAAGTATTATTAACAAGTAGTATTCTCAAAGTATCTGTGATTTATGTACTTTTGCCTGTTTTGGTATGATTTTTCGTTATAGAGTAATAAAGTTCTTTTGTGTGTGTGTGTGTGTGTTGTGTGTTGTGTGTGTGTGTGTTGTGTGTGTGTGTGGGTGCATATTAAGAGTGTATATGACGATGGATTAAATCATGGGTCTCTGCACTAAGATATATGCCCAATCTTTTTAAAAATACTGTTTTAGATAAGGGTCTGACAGAGTTACTAAGTTGCCCAGGCTGAACTCAAACTTGCAGTCCTCCTGCCTCAGCCTCCTAGAATGCTAGGACTACAGGTATGTGCTGCCATACTAAGGTTAGAGTGTGTTGAAGGTTCTTTAAGAGTTTATCTTTTTCTGAATTGTGTGTTAATAATGTAAGAGAGAAGCTGTATGTGCTAATCTATTTCTGTCTTTGTTTTTTTTTTTTTTTTTTTTTTCAGGTTTCTGTAGAGCAACATTTTCATTCTGTGTTAGTCCTCTGTTGGTTTTTGTCAACTCTAAAAGTGGAGATAATCAGGGCGTAAAGTTCCTTCGACGTTTTAAACAGCTGCTAAATCCGGCTCAGGTGTTTGATTTAATGAACGGAGGCCCTCATTTAGGGTAATTCATTATTGACCAATCTTATTTAAAAGAAATGTAGCATTAGATGTGAAATGTCTAACTTCTCAGCTCTTGAAAATTATAGATTCTTTGTGTCCTTTCCGCCCCTTCCTTGTTTAAAGCCCTGTTTGGTTAAAAGATATTTTTGTTTGTGTTTAGACAAGGTCTCACTATGCAGGTCGTAGACTGACCTTGAACTTCTGTGTAGCCCAGACTGGCCTTGAACTCACTGCAGTGACAGCCTCAGCCTCTTGAGCGCTGGGATTACAGGTGTACACCACCACGCCCGGCTCCTGATTGTGAATTTTAATAGTCTCTTTGACAGTTACTTAACTTCTTTATATAAAATCCAAATTTTTTCTGAAATTTCCAATACTTTGTTTAGAAAATGATGTAGAACATACCTTATATCAAACAATAATAATTTGTTTAGCTCCAAAAACTCTAGTACATAAATATAAAATTATTAGCATAAAAGGCTGATACTGGTTTTCTCAAGGACAGTTCTTCAGGGTTTCAGACTTGGTACACATAAATTCCAAAGAAATGCTTTGTTGAGTGTTCTGTTTGTCTTTCTAGAAGGTCATATAATTGAAATTCTTAAAAATATTGAATCGTGTTTTCACTGAGACACATGCCTTGAGACACAGTTCATACATTTCTAGGCTACACATACAACTTCTTACAAGGCGATGGTTGTCTTCTGATGTAGGAACCTTTGTGAATCTCTGTACAGTTTGCTTAGGCCACCCTGGTTGTCTCATGTATTCTGATGACCTTGCATGTTCACAGAGGTAGAAATGGAGAATATAATGGGCTGGGGATTTAGCTCAGTCCCATAAGCACTGCCTGGTAAGGGCAAGGTCATGAGTCCGATCTCCAGTACCAAAAGAAAGAAAGAAAGAAATGGAGAATATAGATACCAATACCTAGAAAAGCAATTTTTGGTTTATAATTTGATACTTTCTTCTTTCTCTGTTTTTCTCTCTCAGTCTCTTTTTGTGCCTTTAAGGTCTTTTGTCATTTCTTCTTGCCGAGTCTCAGGCTGTCTGGTAACAGGGTGTTAGTTGAATCCATTTATACCCAGCCTCTTCCTTTCTCATTGGCAGACTAGCATTTCCTCTTAGAGCCTCTCTTCTTTGTGTCCTCTGTCACTGGATAATTTTGTCCCCGTTTCTAAAACATTTGTTTTGTTGTATAATCCTTTATAGTTCCATTGTCTTTTTTTTTTAAACTTTTAAATTATAGTACCGCTAGGGAGTAAACAGAAGCCCTCATGCATGTAAGCCGGTGTTCTACCACAGAATTATTTTTCCCATTCATCCTCTAAGCCTCCAAGGATCTGTCTTTGTGAAATCTTTTTTTTTTTTGTCTTTTTTTATCGGTACCAGGAATCGAACTCGCAACCGCACACTTGCAAGCAGGCGCTTATGCCACTGAGCTAAATCCCCATGAAATCTTCAGAGATGGTTCCTATAGTATATTTTTCACAGTGCTTCAGGTTTAGACGGGCACATTCAGGAGATGGGATGTGTCAAAGTTGAGGTAAAAGGCTTATTAGCCTGGGACCAGGATGGAAGGAGCAGACCTGAGGAACTGACAGCTCTGAAGGCCGTCTGCTGGCAGGCTTTGGACTTCTGCTTAGGAACTGACTCCATGCAGCTCAGTAGCATCCCATCCTGAATTCCCTTCTGGTTTTCAGTCTTAAGGAAATAACATCCTTGTAGTGGAAAGAAAACAACTGCTTTTACCCCTTCATATGACTTTACCTTTGGTTCTGCTTTCCTTTTTGTTTTCTCATTTCTCAGTGCCCTTTCCTTCTAATTTTGTCTCTATTTCTGCTTATAATTTGCTTTTGAGACATTCTCTTGAGTTAAAAATTACACTTGAATTAAATCTTATAGTAAATATAAAAACGAATGCATAAGTAAAGTTCTTGTATTTAAATTAAAATGAAATTAGAACACCAATGAAATCATAATGACAAAAAATTCAGGAAAGTAATTTTTATGAATCTAACATAAAACATATTTTACTTTCAGTTTAAGATTATTTCAGAAGTTTGACAATTTCCGGATTCTTGTTTGTGGAGGAGATGGAAGTGTGGGTTGGGTTTTGTCAGAAATTGATAAGCTCAACCTGAATAAACAGGCAAGTACTAATTCTTTTTCTTGCTAGTTTATGTGAATGTGTAGTAACGTACTTAGCGAGAGGGATGCAGAGATGTAATTGCAAGTCTCTCCTTTGCACTCCATTGCAGTGTCAGCTGGGAGTACTGCCCTTGGGCACAGGCAATGACCTTGCGCGGGTCCTTGGCTGGGGAGGTTCATATGATGATGACACCCAACTTCCTCAGATACTAGAGAAGCTGGAACGGGCGAGTACCAAAATGTTGGACAGGTAAAAGAAAATTCTAACACTGGCCTGAAAATGGCACGATGAAATCTTTTTTTTTTTTTAATAATTTAAATTGTACTCACTGTAAACCCCCCTTGAAGGCAGGTACTGCTGGTCATCTGGTCTAGTCCACCACTTGATCCCTGAGATAGAGAACAGAGCTCTCCTGAGTGGACTCTCACTAAAGATGTTTTTTGAGTTGAGTAAAAAGGTTTTTAAAATCTGAATAACTTACTTTAAGGGATCCATTATTTTATAGGTAGAAGATTATGTTGATACTAATTACTTTCAGTCACTTTCAAGTAGGAAAGCTCAACTAGTTAATTTCATACGGAGGCTTTTCATGAATATAAAAAGTCAAGTCCTACTGTTTTGTGGTTTCAGCAAAGCTAAGAAGACATACAAACTTTAGGTTTGTTAAAACGTCTTTTCTTGATTTTACATATTATGAATGGACCCAATAAAGAATTATTTAAAAAGGCTCCCATTCCTTGTGTACAGGGACGTATTAGGAAGACAGCTGTGGATGAAGGAATTATCACTGTGTTTACGCTGTCCTCTGTCACATCATAGCCTCTTTCTGAATGACCCGTGTGTAAAACCAAAATCAAAAAAGTGTGGCGTGAGTATTGTAGAGGATGAGTTTGGAGGAAGTACAGGGAGCAGTAGCTTCAGTAAGTAGTAATTACCCAACCACCGTGAGGAGAAGACAAATGTCAAAATATCATAATAGACTTGAGCTGGCACGAATCAAAACAACTTTGATAGGATTAGCCATCTGTGGAACTCTTCCCGAAAATAACAAAATCTCATCAGGGAGCCACCAGGCTAAAATGCAATTACTCTAAGGCAAGCTATAACCTAATTGATTTTAACTTTGTCTGTCATAAGGCAATGTAATGCTTCTTTTGCTGACAGAATATTTAGAGAAAGATGAGCAGTAAAACATTTGTCTGTATTTATTCAAAATATCAAGAGAGACACTCCAGCATTTGGATGTGTCATAAAGGTTTATGATCTAAGGTAGAGCGGGATTCTATTTTTTTAAAAAAGATAACTTTGGATAATGGATAAGTTGTCTAGGTTTATTGTGGTGATAGTTCATGATGTGTAGGTATATCAAAACATCAAGTTGTATACTTTAAACAAATTTTTTTGTCAATGTTAAAAAAAAAGCTGAGGAAAACACAAGACTAGAAGTAAGTAAATAAAATCCCTGTTATTTGTAAAGCCCCTGGAGGTGATTTCCTGGACAACTGTACAATTCTGTGTTTACCAAACAACACAGAATATTTTAAATAGTTTCTTAAAGATTTAATACCTCTCCTGCTGCATCCCAGAACATACCACTGGGTATTTCCTCTATTCCTTTTCCTTTGGCTGTTATAGAAACCCATTTCTCTGGTTAGTGGAAAAATACCACCCTCATGGTGAAAGTCCTTGATACCAGCAGGCCTGTAAAAAAACACAAGAAAAAATCAGTGTGCATTCAAAAGCCTAGGATCATTATTTGAAATATAAAAATGCTTGATTCCTACATTTTCTTTACTAATTTACTGTTTATTAAAAAAATAAACAACAACAAAAAAGGCTGCACGGTGATAGATGCCTATAATCACAGCTACTCAGGAAACTGAATTAGAAAGATTGAAAGTTCCAGACCAGCCTGAGAAATATAGTGAGACCCTGCCTCAACATAAAAATTAAAAGGGCCGGGAAGCGACTGAGTGGTAGATCACCCCTGGGATCCGTCCCCAGTACTGCAGCAAACACGCAGACAAAACTGGTGGGTGACACTAGAGAGCCACAAGCAAAAAGTCATAAAAAGAATCACTATTTAGTATTCTACATCATACGTGTGTGTGTGTGTGTGTGTGTGTGTGTGTGTGTATGTATGTATATAAATTTAGTTATTTGATCTTCAAAACAACACGGTGGGATGACTTAGAAAAGCATTATTATCACTGTTTACAAAAACTGTAAGGTGAGGCTTGTGGAGGCCATGGGAGTCAAAACAACTGACTTTTGTGTCTGCTGATATCATTCATCGCTGCACTCAGTGAAAACCAGCGCTGTTGTCTCCATTTCGGAGGTTTCTCACATGACGAGTCACACCGCTAATGGGTACTCGAGCTAGTGCTCTACCCTGGAATCCAGACCTCAGTTCCCGGGCTCTTTCCTGACGTTGATTGCACCGTCACCCCTTAAAGTGTGTACCAGAGAAGCCCAACCTTCTGGTTTCTACGTTGGCACCTGGTACTGATACACATTTCTGCCTGAATCTTTCCTCTCTCCGGCCACCACGTCCTGTTTCTTCAGCTGCACCCATTTCCTGCCTAGGAGGGAGGCACAGCACAGAAGGCGTAATGCTGGGTGGATTTCTTTTCCTTTTCTTTAACTGAATTTTGGCCAGTGACGTGTATCCACCTGTAAGAGGCTTAACTTCAATGTCTCCACTCATAGTTTCTCTGTTGGGATATTTGCAAATTCACTTTTTTTGGGTTTCCTTACTTATCCCTGTTTTCTGTGCTAGAATATGTGCGTCATTTAGGGAAACCTTCTTCACGTTTGTGTTTCTAGATCTTATCTGTGGCAGGCAAAGAGGAATGGATCAATGGATGAATGTTTTTTGATGCTCAGATGTGAATTTCTTTATAATATTTTTATGTGAAGATTTGTATAGTAGCTCCAAGTAACTTCACTTTATATATCTTACAACATGACATTGGACTATTAGAAGAGCCTCTTGGAATTCACGTTTCTCTGCAGAGATTTACTCATCTGGATGATACACTTGGCTCTGTTAAAATATTGATCTTGGGATTCTCCTGGGCTCCATCACTTGCTCCAGCTGTTTTATGCTTTGCTTAAAATGTATTTATTATGCAGCGCTTTTACAATGCTTTGTGTCTGTGTAAAATCTTTATCTTTCTCTTGGAAGTCTATATTAAGATTCTGGCCCAATTGCTCTTCCAAAATTTGGAAATTATTATTTTAGATAGAAGACTGGAACTATCCTCAATGGTTTACTTTTCTCTAACATTACATGATTCAGCATTTGCTTCAATACTAATACTTATAGTTAATTGAAACAAGTATGTTTGAATCAAATAATATTTCCATTAAGATATTTTCTTCAATCCCATTCTCAAATTATTCTTTCTTAAATTAAGAAGTGGTATTTACCTAATTTTTATTTCATGTATGCATGTGTGTATGTATGTGTGTATGTATGTATAATCTGCTTTGACAAGAAGTGGTTGGTAACAGGTAGTATACGTTTATTTAACAGTAATGGCAGAACTTTAGAGACCACTGCCCAAACTGCAACCCAAAACCCACACAAAGCATTATAAAAGCATTACTGTTACAAGTATATTTTAAGAAAAACATAAAACAGCTGAAGCTAGTGATGGAGCCGAGGTGAATACCAAGATCAGTATTTTAACAGAGCCCCGTATGTCAGCCTGAGGAGTAAGTCTTTGTATAAAAACACCATTACTTATCGCAAAGCCTCAACACTGTGATTAATACTGAGGTTTTAGTTTAGAAAAAACAACTCAGACATTAACATCTTTTCGTCTTTACAACAACATGCACGCCATAGGTTTGGCACCACTGAATTCTCACACGTTGTTTTAGAGCTTTGGGTTGTGACTCATTAATACTTTGTAATCTAGTTAGTAAAATTGCAGTGAACATTATTTTTAAAGTAGAACAGAAGAAAGTCAGAATGCATGGCACCTTAGTGAAAAGGGATACACTTGTTATATTTGAAGATTCCTTACAGTGGACGGTATTCAAATGTTTGGAAGTCAATAATTTGGGGAAATGGTGGAAAATGTGGAAATCATAAAATGGGAATCCAATATTTTGAGGTTACCAAAATTTCGTACCCTTTGAGTTAAGGTGAATTAAATCATAGCATATATATTTAAATTTTAAAGAAATTTTAGACCAAAGAATTTTCTCCCTTCAGGTGGAGTATAATGACATATGAACTCAAATTGCCCCCGAAGGCTTCTCTACTTCCTGAACCTCCGGAAGCACCTGAAGAATTCTATGTAAGATTTAACTCGGCCTACTTACCATTTGAAGTGGGGTGGATAGCTCGGGAGAAATGAGAAAACTTACGCCTAATGTTTGTAATAATGTGTGTATTGCGTTTATTTTCATGGGCAGTGTGATTTTATTGACTTCTAGTTTGACGCCAGTGACCACTCACACTGGGAGCATGACCATAACCAAGTCGCTCACCTTTGAGGGCCTTCGTTACTTCATCTTAAAGTGAGAGTATAATTTTGTGAGGACTGAATGATGCAACAGATGCAGCTAGGCGTTTACTTCAAGAACACAGGTGCCTACCTGCCTGGCAAGCACAAGGTCATGAGTTCGATCCCTGGTACCAAAAGAAAACAAGCAAACCCAAAAAACCATGTGTGTGGAGCACCCAGGTGTGCAAGGTCCCATTCTGGTGACCCAGTAGTTCTTCCTAAATAGTCTCCTGCCTCTTTCCCGTTCATCAGAAGAGCTCCAACAGAAGCCATTTGGCAGTGGCTTCCTGTCACCCTCTTGCTTCACCTGCATTGGTTGTGAGCACCCATCCGATTGTGAAGTGGTAGCCTAGCCCCTTCCTCTCTGCAGTCTCCATACAGCCCAGTACATGAAGCCAGAATAGTACACAGAATTTCTTAGCTCTTTGCCTGGTCTTTGAAGAGGGCACTAGACAGCATTAAGCTTGTTGATCCACAGAACACAAAAACAGCTCACTTCGTTCTGTCCCTGCTGTAGACCACAAACGTTTCAGCTTTTCAGAGATTTTAAGGATTCGGCATTCTGATTACACCTCAAAGCAGCAGAGATTTAAAATAGAACCCAACTTTCAGAGGATTATTCTCTGACTCATTAAGACCATTTGATCTGTGATAGCTTATTTTTCCCTCTAGGAAAATACATCAGTATATTTCACAGTTGAAGCTTTGTCTTGTTATTAATAATTTATGATCTTGTTAAAACTAAGGCAGGGAATGAAAATTAGAAGTGAATGTTTTGTAGAGAAACTAATTGTATTTTTAAAATTTTTCTTACATAAAAGTAAAAATAATTGCTGCTACACATTTTTAAAAATAGAAAATTATGTGATAAAGGAAAAAAAAATCACAGTCCCTACCTCCCAGGGATAATGATATTTAGGATTAATATGTTTGCTGGCTTATTTCCAACAGCATTCTTATTATGCTATTTCATCATACATGCTTTTATAGCCATCATACATGTTTTTATGGAAAACAGTCTTTCTCAGTTTTTTTGTGAATGTTATTTCTTCCCAAAGGGGAAAAAAAAGGAGAGTTCTTCTGTTTTACTTTGGAAATATCAGTTCTTTTGTTTTACTTACCAGGGAAGCATCTATTTCCGAACATATAAAGATAGATAAATAAGTTCTGTCATTTATATGTAATCACTTTAAAATTGGGGTATAAATACATGAAGAAAATCTCTTACTTTCTTAGTGCAAATGGGTTTTGAATGATTCTTTTGTTCTTTAAAACTTTTTATCATGACAGAAGGGTAGTATACATTAAGATTACAGAGGAAGTACATATTTTATGTGACTGGAAACTAAAAACAACGTCTGGTTGAAATCTGGAATACACTTTACTGTGTGTAATTTTTTTTTAACTTTGAAAGCTACTAAAATTAAGCAGTCTTTCCTCTTGACTCGTTTGCACTTCATTGGCTGGGATCCTAGGCAGAGCACTCGGCTCATCCTAGTCTGCACTTCCGTAACTCTAAAACATGGCATTAAAGGTGTAAAAATACCCAGAGTGATTAAGCACAAGAAAATATGTTCACTCTAATTATTACCTTCCTGACCCTGGTAAGTGATTCTGTAGTAGGTTAATAAGTGACACCTGTAATTTTTTTTTTTTTTGCCCTCTGTGGGACAAAGGATCGAGCATACTAGGTAAGGGCTTCGCACGAGCTGCGGCCCAGGTTTATCCTTGGACATAGAAGTTACTTTGTTTTCCTCTGAAAGGAGTAGCATGTTTTTCTTTTGAATATTTTTAATGAATAAAAACTTGGATTTTTAGATCTAAATTTAAAGTGGCATTTCTTAAATGACATTAAATAATCAGTTGATTAATTATAGTTAACTAAATGCAATTAACTAATTGGTTCATTAGTTAATGGCATTACTGGTTATTTAAATATTTTCTACCCAGAAGGGAAGACAATAAAAGTAATCTCTGGAGAACATTCCTTTTTTTGGATTTTTAGAAGGTGTGTTTTCATTTTTCTAACCTTTACAGATACAGTTTTTAATATTTCTAATATGGGTAATGTGGATTTGTGGGTTGTTTTAACAGTATAACTCTTGGGTTCCTGTTTTCTTCTCTTTTCTTTTATGTAAAATTGCTTTTCCACAAGAGGTCTGCCTTTAAAAAGGATAAGACAAAAATTTAAGAGTAGCATAGTGACCAGCCACTGCTGGACTTGATAGTAAGTTAGGAATGAGATTGCTTTGAGGAGGAGGGTGGTCAAAAAGCCATCATGGAAGAAGTGACATTTATTGAATCTTCATGAAGTCTGAGAGTAAAGTGATGCTTGGTCGTAAAAAGCAGTGAAAAGACCTCTGAGTGAAACAAGAATATTAGGAACCAACCTGAATAGGACATCTCATTTGTAAAGGAAAATTTTGAGCTGTGTAACAAGGAATATATGAGGCAAACATTTGATGTTTCTCTATATGAGGCTGTTTAAATGTTGTTCATATCTTGCCATATTAGGAAAGTGTGCTCTTTCAACAGGAGGTTAAAGTTTGTGTAGAATTGGGGCTGAGGATTTAGCTCAGCAGCATAAGCACCTGCCTTGTAAGCAGGCAGTTGTGAGTTTGATCCCCGGTACTGATAAAAAGGAAAAAGACAAAAAAAAAAAAAAGTTAGTGTAGCGTAGAAAAAGGCGATATAGGGTTGACATTTTTTATTAAGAGGAATATTTATCACATGATTTATGATTACATATAGCGTATGCCTACTTTTGAAAAACTAATTGAAATATAAATGTGCATACAAAAAAGTGTGCAGATGATAGATGTATAGGTTGATACATTTGCACAAACTAAACAGATCTCAGGTCAACATTCAAGTAACCCAAATCCCCTTTGAGTCACCACTACCTCTCTCCTCCAGCCCATAATAACTACCATTAACAACATATGTTATCTGTGTCTCATTTTGTATTTTATAAAGTCATATTGTATGTATCCTTTGGCCCCTAGATTGTTTTACTCAACATGTTTATCAGGTTCATCTATGTCATGGTGTAGTTGTGAGTTATTTCTTCTCATTGTCCTATAATATTCTATTGCAATATCGAGTGAATGCTGTGTGGCTATTCTAGTATATGTCTTGATGAACACACATCTACATTTCTTTTGGGCAAATACAAGCACTTATAGTTTTTGTGTCCTATGGAATTATACATATGATCAGCTTTTTAAATTTTTGCTTTTATGGTTTTTTTTTTTTTTTTGATACTAGGGATTGAACCAACATCAGTGCAAAATCTGGGGAGCTTTTCATTTTTTATTTTGAGACAGAGATTTTCTGAGATCCTCGGACTGGGCTCAAATTTAAGTCCTTTTGCTTCAGCCTCTTAGAGCACTAAGATTATAGGCATGCGTTGCCACACCCAGCTATGCATGTTCAGCTTTAATAGGCTTTACTATCAGATAGTTCTGTAGAGTGTTTGTGTCAATCTGCACTCCCCTCAGCAATGTGTGAGGATCCTGTAGCTCCACGATCTTGCTAACACATAGCCTTTTCCATGTTTTTGCTGTTTTCATCCTGGTGGATACACAGTGTACTACGTGGTGGTTTCGTTTCCATTTGCCAAGTGGCTGATGAGGTTGAATATCTTTTCATCCATTTATGAGTCATTAGGATATTCTATTGGAATCTCTTAAGTTCTTTTGCACATTTTTAATTGAATTTTTATTATATTTATTTTTAATAGTATTTTAAACTACTAGACATTTAACTCTTATGGATTTCTCTAAAAATAAAAAGTGTTCTTGAAAATGAGTCTTTCACAGACAGGAAATATTTATCCATTTTGCTTAATGACTTTTTTATTATAGCTATTGTTCTGTTTATGTGTGTCATGAATGGTTCCATTTCTGAAGCAAGTAATAACTGAGTCTATAAATATCAAAAATGATAACACAGTGTAGATATTTTTCTTTTTCAGATGACGATTTATGAAGACTCAGTTACAACTCATCTTTCAAAAATCCTCAATTCTGATGAACATGCGGTGGTCCTATCATCTGCCAAGTGAGTTGTAGAGTCTTTAAGTCAAGATGAGTAGTAAAATGGTAAAAACAGAAGGAAAGCGGCTTCTTTATTAATTCCTTTTGATTTTTATTTTCAAGAAATATCTGTGAAGTTGCTTATGGAATTGGTTGCATATGGATCATGGTAATTGCTTTTGATGGTATTCTTTCCAGCCACAGGAAACAGCATTGACCAGTAGGAAAAGGAAATCTGGCTCCAGGCAAGAGAAACACAGTGGTTGGTGCAGGCAGAGATGGGCTGCACTGTCCAGCAGGCAGTGACCCATGCCAGCTGACCTGTGTTGTTTAATGAATTGTATGCTATACAGTGAAATGCACAGATTTCCAGTTTGTTCCAGGCTCAGCACCCCTACAGTCTTCCTCCCCATCCCAATCCTCACATCTGTTATTTAGCTCATCTCTGTTCCTTACCTTGTCTCTGAACGCATTTGACGTGCCCACCTCCCGCATCGTCTCAATGTTTAGAGGACATTGCTGAAAAAGGAGAGTAGAAAGAGATTTTAAAAAGTATAGTATGTTATAAAATAATTATTCTTTGTTTAATCAACTGTAGTGAATATTTTATCCTACCATCTACAAAGGCTGAATATTAGCAAAGCCGGATTCACCTTCTTGTGTTCAATATGTTTGATCACTGCCTTGTGTATGTTTTACGTCTTTAATCAAATGGAATTCATATTATGAAATATGGACAACTGCAGACAGTATCATTATGACAGCTGCCAACCCTTGACTCACTTACCATTTTTAACCTTGTTTCATTTTGTTTTTATTTCTTTGGGTACTGAGGGTTACATGCACTAAGCATTAACCTGCACCCCTATATTTTTTTATTTGTTCATTCATTCATTCATTCATTCATTCATTCATTCATTCACTGAAATAGGGTCTTGGCTATGTAGTTCAGCTGGCCTTGAATTCATTATGTAGCCCAAGCAGGCCTTGAACTTACGGCTATCCTCCTGCCTCAGCCTTCTGTTGGTGAGGTTAGTGTACACTACCATGCCTGACCCTTTTTAAATTTTGAAATCAGATCTCACTGAGTTGTCAGGCTTGCTAGGAATTTCTGATCCTCCTGCCTCGACTTCCTCAGTTGCTTTAATATAGATATGCAATGACAGCTGTACCTGGCGTGATTCTTAATAGCTGTGCAGTCTGGCATTCTTAGTAGTGGAAGCCTTTTGTAAATAAAATCTTGCACAAGATCGTAATATTAAAAGATTAACAATCTATTTTGTTAATTATTAATAAGCTGGATAAAATTAAAGCCACTTATGAAAAATTAATAAGTTTCTAGATGACAACTGCAGTCGTATTTGATGCTATTTCCAATTTTTTTTAAATTTTGGTTACATAATTGTAAGGATATTGTCTTCTGATGTTGTAAGATCAGTTAAATAATGTGGCAGATTATTTAATGCAAGATATATATAACAACTAGTAAATTCTAAAGAAAATGTTAATATTATTTGTCTCAATATTTCTCACGATTGTTTGAGTATTTCAAGTATTACTTGCTGTATTTCTAAATCAAATTTATAATAAGCCCTTGTAGATTTCTTGAAGTATTTAGAGAACAGTTTAGAAACTAAGGCAGTCTAGGTCTTGTTGACACCCATTTGCCAGCTTTATGGCCTGTGTGTATTTTTACCAATGTATAAATGAGAGAATGTCTATTATTTTTCTTTCATGGAGCTATTAGAATTAAATACATAATAAATACAGAGAATATAATTACAGATTGCTGCATGAAACTCATGGTGGCATTATCTCCTTTATCCAACTAGACTTCCATGTTTTGTGTGTATGATCTTGGTCTGCTGCTTTTCTCACCTCTGGTCTTAGCTCTGCATTCGAGTTTCTCTTCAACCATCTCTCTTGCTTTGAGTAATTCTGTTCCCAGCCTGGTCCCCTCTTGTCACTGTGCGATCGTAGGCTTGCTGCTGTCCTTTCATGGCAGCCCCGTATTAGAATCAGACAGGGATTGGTCTGAAGAGCTTAAAAGACAAAGGAGAGGTCAGAAAACAATACCTTTGTACCAGTAATATATTTTTAATGTATTTTACGACATTTTCAAGCAGATAAAAGTAGAGAAACTGGTATAATAACTTCTCACCATACTGTTCTCAGCTTTAGTATTTACCAACATTTTCCCATCTATTTTCACTCTATTTTGCTAAATCTAGACAAATCTACGAAATGATTTTACCACATTTTCAAATGTGCGTGTGTGTTTATGTAAAATCTTTTGGAAATAGAATTAGCTTTTATTTTTTGAGGCAGGTGTCTCTCTTTGTAGTACAGGCCTTGAACTCATGGTGATCCTTCTGCCTCACAATTTTCTACTACAGTCAATCTTACTCAGTTCTTGGCTGGAGATATAGCTCAGCAGCACAGCACCTGCCTGGCAAGTGCAAGGTTGTGAGTTTGATCTCCAGTACCTTCCCCCCAAATATTACACAATTCTTTTCCCACTTCTCTCAGTTATCTCAAAGATATTTTTATTTTTGATTTATTCAAATTAAAGTCCAAACAAGGTTCATATATTGCATTTGGTTTATAGGTCTTTAAGCTTTAAATGTGCATGTTGTTTCTTTCCGCTAAAAAAGTTCTTATTGTGGTATGATTTATATACAATATCCAAATCATAACGGCGCTACTCAATGATTAGAAAAAATACCACGCATAGAAGAACTCATCTATGTAACCACCACTTAGATAAAATATAAAATAAACTGTTCCTTTCTTTTGTTAATGCTATTCATTTTTTAAAGACTACAGTATTAAAGAATATTAACTTTCTTATATATTTTGATTTTTATTTTCATAAAATAACAATTCCCAGTAACTATAATTGATTTTTGCTATTTTAAAAGTGTTGAAATACTAACAGGAAATCTGTTCCTTAAACATAGTTAATATTTAGATTAACTAGTGTAGTTAATGTGGGTTAACTTCAAGTACTATTCTTTGACTTTTGGGGATTTTAATCAGTTCAGTACTGTAGCATTGTCATCAAAGTTCTAATTAACAATGATAGAGACCACTTATTTATAAAAGGGAGAACACAACTATTTTAATAAGTCCCGATACCTATAATTTAAATGACTCTTTTTATTTAGTCATACTCTCAACACATGCACACACACACACACACACACACACATACACCAACGTGTACACACACCCCACTTTAAGCAATAGTTTTAAACTTTATTAGTTCTAATAGTATGTGTTACTTTGGATTTTTTGGTACTAACTCAACTCATCCTTAGCTTTTAAAATAAATGTAATGTTTGTATATAAAACTTCCAGAAGATGGGATAACTGGCATGATAAAATAGAATTTAGATTTGGAATCTTCTTTTTTTTTTTTTTTGGTACCAGGCATTGAACTCATGACTAGCACTTTAAATGTGTATCTTGTTTCCTTCTGCTTAAAAAAGATCTTATTGTGGTATGATATATATACAATCTCCAATTCGTAAGGGTGCTACTCAATGATTAGAAAAAATACCACACATAGAAGAACTCATAAAGTATCTAAGTTTAGGCACTTATGCCACTGAGCTAAATGGCCCTGGAATCATCTTTAGAGGTAATTTAGGCAAATCTAAATTAGGTTTGAATAGATGAAATAAAAAACATGATTATTAAAAACATCTTTCTTCATGCACATAGATATCAAAGAGACTATATTATGCATTAGTACTTCTAATTCCTAATTTGAACTTCTTAATTAGATTTAAAAAATGGGTTTTTCAGGTCTTCATAAGATCATCCTCACAGCCACTCTGATTCTGTGAAGCCATCATGGTCATACTTAATAAAGTATTTTTTTTGTTCTTTCCCCTATTTTTAAAAAAATTAATGGAAAATAGTAAAGATATTAATACTAGTTGTAAGAGAAAACTGTCTCATAAATATAATTGAAGTGATGGTAATCAAGTATAAATACAGTATATTATTAGATTCCCTGAATATTTGGTGCACACAGTTGATTATTTAACTGTGAAGGACAAGAACAAAATTGAGTAAAATTTTGAAAGTATCCAAAGTTTTAACATTGAGGATATAATTAGGGATTAAAAGTTTTTTGCTCTTATGTGAAAATCTGTGTGCTACCCTTTAAATTTGTATTTTTATTAGTACATGTTTTAAATTTTTAAGTTTATTAGTGAAGTACATAATTATATTCATCATGAGGAGTTGTTGCAGGTACATAACTCATCTTAATCTTTTTAAATACCCTTCCCTCCTCTCTGACTTGTCCCTCTGATTCTTGATTCCCTTTTGTAAAAGATCTATTTCCTAGTTTCCTATTATCTTCTGTTGTGTTTTTTAATTTACTTATACCTTGAGTTTCTCATGTATACCATGCAATATTTAATCTTGTATATCTGATTTATTTTACTTAATGTTCTTTGTTTTTGTTTTTTGTTTTTTTGGTACCAGGGATTGAACTCATGACCTTGTGCTTGCCGTGCAGGTGCTTGTGCCACTGAGCCAAATCCCCAGCCCCTACTTACTGTTCTTAACATTATGTTCTACTTGAATTTGATTCTTAAGTGTTTTCTAGAAGTCTTAATGTATTATAGAAGCCTTAATGTAAAATAGAAAATTGTACGTACAGAGCCTGTATTGTGTTACTGTGTAAATACATCCTAAAATTATTATTCTGTCCTTTGCAAGTTTCCAGTTGGCACCACTTTAAAATCATGCTATTTTTTGAGTATATGTATCATTTTTATTTTTCAGTATTTAGGTACAATATTCAGTATTAGGTACAATATTCAGTATTTAGGTACTGCCTTCAGTATTTAGGTACAATAAAAGTTAATTCACTTTCTAGAATATTTATATTTTAGTATATTTATATCCTATATTCCTTTTGAAATATTTAGCTTAATGGACCATCCTGCAGAGCTTTGAGCAATTCTACTGATTCTTCACAATTTATGTGCCAAGCATATTCATGTTCACCATATTTCCATTTATCAGCTCTCGTGGCACCAGGTTCACAGAATCTGTTCCTTTTTCGCCTCTGTCTCCCTCAGCCATGTGGCCCAGGTTGAGGAAGGATACTTCTGCTGTCCCTTTCACCCTTAGGCTGATGGGCAGCATGATTCCTGTCCCTAGGAGTAAATACCAACCGAAGTAGTGGTGATGATAATATTGTGGCATGTGCAGTTTCACCAACCCAAGAGGAAAGTAGGCCAAGTTACTGTAATAGCAAGACAGGCTTCTGTTTTGGAGTTACATAAAAAGATGGGAGTACTTGTCTCCTTTCTCTAGAAATAGGACATGTAGAGAAATTTTCAGTGAAGTCCTAGAAGACATTTCACAATAATCTGGCTTAATAGTTTGAGAAATTCCATAAAAGCGTCATTTATCAACAAAGAAGAAAAATCTTGATGTACCTGACTGTTTTTCTAGTGAATGGTGAGCTACATTCTTTGCAGATGTTTGAGGTTAAAAAGCCAACATAGAGGGCCAGGGATGTAGATCAGGGATGGAACACCAGCCTAGCTTGTTCAATCCCTAGCACCAGAAAAATAATTAATTAACTGATTGATTAAAAATTATCAAGTTCAAGGGTAGGGGACATTACCTTTGTCCAAGCCAATGCAGAAATAGCTGCCAAAAAACAGCAAATAAACATTGTTAGGAATGATGGTTTTTACTTCCTGTATGACAGGTGTGAAAGTTTAGCATACATGTAAATATATGCAGTATATGTGTGTTCTATATCTACCAAAAGGCTCAATATCGTAATATGTAAGTATTTGGAAGCATATCAGAATGGCACTCACCTATGAGAGAAATTGTGAATTTAATAGAAAAAAAACTGCCACAAATTTTTTCTTTTCTTCATATTTTTTAATCTATAAAAATGGTAGACCGCAATATTGTACTTTTAAAATAAACAGCATAAAATCTTGCTGTATACAAACAAATCCTATACCATTCTGTTGGTGGTTTTAAACTCATCATCGCCAGCTCCAAAGACCTTTGAAAGATGGATCTTGTTAATGTTCCAGGTTATTTTGTCTTTCGGTGTAATTCTTCTGCAAAGAAACCAAATGTAATTTTAAAAAACCAAACAAGTAAACCATATATCACTGACACTAATGAGCCCTGAATTAAATTAGCCTTGTATATTACTGTATTAGTTGTTTTAGGAGGAAGAAAATGAGTAGATTTACAGAGAATATAACTCGGTTCAAGTGGCAGATTGGTTTGCAACATAGTACACAACTGTGTTCCTCTTCAGGAAGAGCACGTTATCAATATAAATGTATGACGGACAGTAGATTGACAGTGAAGAATCTAAGGCTGCCTGGTCAGCGCTATAGTTTCAGATATACAAATGTATAAACTGTGAGACGTGATACATTATTTTTAAAGGGACTGAAAAATACACTTAAGGCTTAAAATATTTCAGAAGGGCTTGTTATAACCTTAAAAGCAAGGTTTATTCATATAGCCATTTCTTACATACAGTGTATTGAATTTTTCTGGGACATAGGCTACAGATGAAAGAATTGATTTTTTAATGATCTAGATATTTTGACTGGCTCTCCATTTGTACATACTTGTAAATGTTTATAAATCACAGTAAACAAACCAGTTTTAATTTTCTTTCTCCCAGGATACTGTGTGAAACCATAAAGGACTTCGTTTCCAAGGTAGAGAAAACATATGATAAAACATTGGAAAACGCCGTTGTAGCAGAAGCTGTGGCTACCAAAGTAAGGCGGACACTTCAGGGCACAAAAGTTTACTGACAGTGTTAACGTCAGATTGTGCTTTAAAGCCACACTGGTTAGATAGTTGCTCTGCCAAAGCATTGTAAATCAAGCAAAACATTGCTTATGAAATACATGTAAGAATTTTAAAAAATATATTCTCATTTGTGGCTATCTAATAAAATGTAGAAAAACAACCATGCTGAGATCACCTTGTTAAAACATGGGACAGACCATGTTTTATAACTCACAACCCCTCTCCAGTGACTGGCATCTGGAAGGAGGTTGCAGGCACCAGGACTGCAGGGGAGAGTGCTGTCCAGCTGCCAGTGCCCATGTCCAGGTGATCTCTGGCCAGTCCAGTTTCCTACCAGCATGGCCCCCTGGGTTCTTGGTCTTTGGTCTTTTGCAGAGTTATATTTCTTGCTCTGCCTTTTTCTTTAACAACTTCGTGAGCTTTCTAATGCTAAAATAAGAGTAGCTTAATTAAAAGCCACTGTCTTTACTTTCATAAGCTCATGGGAGGGCCTTCTTATAAAAGGCCTGGGTATCTTGGGTTTGCAGGAAATTTTACTTCCCCAAATTCATGCAGTAGATGGTTGGACTGGAAAGAAAAAGAAGGTGGAAATAAACAGACATTGGAAGTGTTCTTCCTCTGGAGAGTTTCAGAAAACAGAAATCCTCCATTAGTCGTGTTTTTGTTTCTACTCTTGCTTTTGCCCTGTAACTTCGTCTTAGGCTGTGTCACCAAGACAAACAAAAGAAAGGAAAAAAGACTGGAAGTTGTGTGGAGATAGAAGATCTATTAGGAGTAGCACTGACAGCTTCAGTCCTAATTGTTTCTTCCCTCCTAGTATAACGAGAAAAGTAGAAAGAAACGTGGGCCAAGGGCTTGCTTTTTCTTTCCACTTCTCCCCTCTCCTTATTCCTGTGCATTTTCCTTGTTATTTGAGCTAATAATCCTGTAGGCACGATTCACTTCTTTGCAAATCAGGGCTTTCAAGGCCAGCTTGATAATTAAGACTAAACGGGGCCGTAGGTGAGTCACCTTTTTAAAAGGAGGGTTATTTGGTATAATATATTTTTGTGTGCTTTATTTTAAATTATTTGTTGTGTTCTTTTAAGGAAAAATAGCTGTACAAAGGTTATAAGGATTTTAATCTATGAAATGAGGTTTGCATAATTCTGGAAGCATAAACCAATAAGTTTACATAAGAATTGTGCTAGTTTGTGTTTTTCAAATTATAAAATCCTCACTTTGCAGGTCTAAAGTATAAATTGTTTTAGGTGAATAATTTATAGTAAACAATATAGTCATCTTCCTTTTAAATCAAAACCCACTGATTTAAATTACCATTTTCCACCTCCACTAAATTTTAAAATCAGTATTTCTCAAGCCAAAACATTTACAAAATAAGAGATAATAACCAGTTGCATAGTAATGATTTTTTTCTCTTTCGTGATGGAACCTTTAACACACCTTACATAAAAACTACTTGTATTTTGTCTGTTGATGTTTCTTCTGTTAGAGTTTGTTGCTCATTCTCATTTTTTTGTTTGTTTTGTTTCTCAGTGTTCGGTCTTAAATGAGAAACTTGAACAACTGCTGCAAGCTGTGCACACAGATTTCCAGGCTACTCCCCCGCTCCCGGGTGTTGGGGCTGTCATCCTAGAAGAAGATGCTGTGGAATCTTCAAGTGAAGAATCCTTGGGGGAAAGCAAGGACCAGCTTACAGAAGACATTACAAAACCTTCCTCCCAGAAAGGCGTCAAACCAAGGGAAATAATGTTACGAGCAAACAGTTTAAAGAAAGCAGTGAGGCAAGTCATTGAAGAAGCTGGAAAAGGTATACATCAAGCAAATTAGCTTTGGAAGAAGTTGGCAGCTTTCCTAGTCCAAGTGTAATAGAGTTTTCATAATAATCAGCTTGGACATGCTGAAAAGGACATTTAAGACACAAGAGAGGAAGATAAATGCACTAAAAAGAACTTAGTCCTATTTATTATTTTAGTAGTAAAGATCAACATATTAATGGCACATAATATAAAGTCTCAGAAATAGAGTCGGGGGTGGTAGTGCGTGTGTATAATACCAGCACTCTGGGAGGCTGAGGCAGGAGAATCAGAAGCTTTAGGCTAGGCTAGACATCTTAGTGACCAAATGAAACCCTGTCTCGTAACAGAAAAAAGGACCAGGATTGTAGCTCAGTGAGGAGGCCTTGGGTTCAGTCCTTAATACCACCCTCCAGAAAAAATAGCTACATTCAGAAATAAATTAAGGTTATAAACATTTCTATATTTACCTTACAAAGAAAAGTCATTTAGGCCAAATTTCTAAAGTTTTAAATGTTTTTTACTTAATTGAAGCTGTTGAATCCTTAACCTGAAAACTATTTTGAAAATACAGAAAATATTTTTAACATTAATTTTGTAAGAGCTTTTTTTTGAGAATGCACAAAATTGCTCTGTATATTTTAATTTCTATATTAATGTAATTTCCATACTTCCTAGAATTTTAGTAAACTAAAAATTAATTTTAACATGGGTAAGTAATGTTCATTCTGGTATAATACACTTTTATTCTGATATTTACATATTATAAATAAATATATATAATATAAACATACATATATAATTTTAACAACTTTATTTAATTTATAATCTTTGGTACTTCCAGACATGACCCTCAAATTTATTATTAAATAGTGTTTGTGAATGTAAAACTTCTTTTGAAGCTGGATGTGGTGGTGTGTGCCTGTAATCCAGCCCTGGGAAGGCTGAGGCAGAAAGATGGTTGTGAGTTCAAGACCAGGCTGAGCTCAAAGCCAGTGTGAACTGCATAGTGACACCTTGTGTTAAAAAAAAAAAAGGAAAAAAAACTTGATAAACGTTTTAGTTTCGCTGTCTTAAGCATGTCTTAATATGGATGGATTTTATTTTCACTTACCCAAGTATATTTTTCTATTAAAGTTATGGAAGAGCAGACAGTGATCGGCACTGATTATGATAGTACGGAAACGGATGAATCTAAAGAAGATTCAAGAGAATCATTAACTGGTAAGAACACTGATAACCTTACTTTGGAACTGAATAAAATGTAATTTTATGTCCAGTTTTCAGAAGGTTAGCCATTTTGATTTAAACTTTTTATATTTTTATTTTTGAAGTGGCTATTTGTAAGTTAAAGCTTATATTCATGAATTCTAAAATAATAATGCTAACCAATTATTTAAACTGTACTCAGATACCCTCACATCCTTCTCTTAACATGTATTCTAGAGAGAATGAAGGTCTACAAGACAAAGATAATTAAAAACCTTAGTTTTCTGGTGGGAAGAGGAGAAACACCTATATCATCCAATTTTAGGCTATTTCAGACCTCAGATTCCCTTAAGAATTGCCACTGGCCCCCCATATCGAAAATCTGGCCTTTGAACTACTCAGGAGTCCTCTAGGTTTCACTGACCGACCTTCTAGACTCATGATCCTTGTCTCTAAATTAAGCTTTCAATCACAGCTACAACCCTTTTCTTTAACAAAATTATTTTTATGAAAATGTAAAATTGCTCAGACTACTGCCTACCTTACAGCTTTTCATTTAAGATGAATTTACATTTTTAATATTTTGTATTACATAAGCAAAAAGTTTCTAATTTACTGGAATGAAATAAAGAAGTTAAAATACAAATGAAGATATGAAGATAATATAAATGATACTTGAGAAAAGTCAACATAATTATATCAGAAATGTTTGCATTTGAGAATTCATTATGTTTGCTGTCCCTTTCACTCTATATAAAGTTGGGCAGTTAGCCTCTCTGGTTTTCTCTTCTATAAAATAATAATAATATACCAATTTCACTGGAGTTAGTACAAGTCAAGACAAACTCTGTATGTGGGATACCTAGCGTAGCATCTGGCTTGTAATGCTGTATGTATTATTAGTAGTGTTACTGTCATTGCTGCTAAGTACATTAACTTTGAGAGAATATTCCTTAATTGTACTTAAAACTCTTAGACTTCAAAATCAGACTTCAAAATCAGCAGATCTCGTATGGCCAGCATCCAGCTCGGTAAAGACGTACCCCTGAACTCTTACAGATGCCCCTCAGGTGTTTGGACACTGAGTTTCAATACATTCCAGTACATTCCATTCTTAACAGTTGGCTGTAATTGTTAGAAAAGTTATTATTTTGAGCGTTTTTTTCTCTTAAATTTCAAGTTACCAATTAGAGATACTGTCAGATTCTGTGTATGGTAATGTTGACACTAACAACTTCAGGCGTTTGTATAGTGTTTGAGGTTCGGTTTAAAAGCAACTTTACATTCAGCGTTTCACTAGATGGAAGAAGAATCTGGCTCTGGAGCCGCGGCTTACTCTTCTTCCCTGTGCAGCCCTGAGATTGACAAGAGCTCTCCTGGCCGCACCTTCGCTGGCACATCTGTCCCCTGTTCACGTGATCTGTCTTATCTCCTGTATCAGTCTTCAACTTGAGGATTCCAAACTTTATGGTTTTCATTTTTTGTTCAAATTGTTTAGTTAATATTTATCTTAAAATGTGACGCCCAATTTGAACAAAATTCTCCAGACATTCTTCTGTAGAGTTACAGCTCAGAATGAATACACAAATTCAGTACTCATTCTGCGCATTTGGGTATCACAAAGAGTACTATTTTTTTACATTTCTCCTTATTACCTTTTTCAAAAAATCTTTTGGCTATCATTGGGTCCTGTCAAAATCTTTTGACACTTGATTTTATCTTCTCAAGTTTACTTCATCTGTGAATCTGACAATCAGGTCTTAGACATTTTCTTCCATTAAAAAATATCAAAGTGACGGGGCTGGGGATTTAGCTCAGCGGTATAAGCGCCTGCCTTGCAAGTGTGTGGTCGTGAGTTCAATCCCCAGTACCGATAAAAAAAAAATCAAAGTGAGGCTTGCCAGAGTATCCTTGTGGTCTTAACAGTATACCACTTGCTAATTTCCCCTGAGTAGTGGCTCTCTGAGGAGGATTGTTTTTTTTTTTTTTTTTTTCAGTGCTCATTGTTAATGGTTTCCAATAAAATGTCATCTCATCTTGTTATACTCTCATAAATTCAAAATTTTCATTTAATTAAAAAATACAGACAGTGATACAGATTTTGATACTGGGATGGACATAGGAAAATCTTTAAGGTTGTAGTATTTGATTTTAAAATCTTAATTTTGGCTCCAATAAATCAATATCTTAATATTGATTTACTGGAGATCAGTGGCAATAACAAGTTTTTTGGTTTATTGAAGCACATTCATTATATCATTTAAATTATGTAATAACTCATAGAGAAGTGAGAAATACAATGTATTAATATAATCAGGCGTTTTATTTAAAAATATCCATGAAACTAATTTTTAAGTTTAATTTTTGTTATTTTTATATTTTGATGGATTGATGATTGATTACACACTGGAGATTGAGCCCAGGGCATCACCAAGCATCCCATCACTGATGGAACGTCTCTCGCTCTTTGTTATTTTTTATTTTTTATTTATTTATTTTGAGGCACAAGATCTTGAGAAGTTGCTCAGAGTGACCTCAAACTTATGATTCTCATGTGGGATTTTAACTGTGCATCACCATAGCCAAGCAAAATGTTAGTTTTAATTACCAACGGTGGGAGATCAGTGTTAGTTATTAGTACAGTCTGCTTTTTATCAGAGAGGAGCATCAAACGTGGCTTTTATTAGAAATTAGCCACAGAAGTCACATCTGTCCAAATAAAATAAGAGTGACTCTTCTGTTACTTTCTTTACTGCAACTAAACCAGTTTTAGCAGAAAAAATAAAGTGTGTGCTAATTTGTAATTAGCCAAAGGGAGAATGAAAATGATTAAATTTTAGAGTACTTTTAAATTTAATTTGAGAACTTTAAAAATACCTACTAATAACCCCTAAATTAGTTAAAGGTACTATTTACTATTTATCAAATTACCTCAGTTTAGATAGAATTAAATTTTCTGTTATTTTTTTTAACAGTGACTGCTTTGGGCAAATCATTATTTTGAGTAAATAATTGGAAGATGCATAAAAAATACCTTGGTTCCATTGAAATAAAAGACTACCTTCTTTTTTCTTCCATTTTTAGGAGACAGTGTTAATGCATGTTTCATGTGTTCTGAGAATTACATTAATTAAATATTATAATTCACTCAATAGTTATGAGACAAGCATTAGATTTATAGTATACATTATTTTGAAAAATCATCAGGCTTTTTTAAATTGGGTTTATCACACTGACGTTAGGAGTGTTACTGACCTTTAATTATGGAAGATGTCTGGTTTTTACCATTGTCCCTCTATGTGAGCTTAGAAGTCAAAACATCTACATTGGCAGGTATAGAAGAAAATGAAAATAAAATGGTAAAAAAATACTTAGATGCAATTCACATTTTTAGTTCTTCTGCCTGATTAAAACAGGTCTTGGCCGGGAGTGGTTGTGGGTGCCTGTAATTCAGGAGGCCAAGGCAGGAGGATTGCCACAAGTTCAAAGCCAGTCTGAGCTATGTAGTGAGTTCAAGGCCACCCTGCACTACGTAGCAAGACCCTGTCTCAAAAAGAGATACATTTTGAATTTATAGGCACTTAGTAATAATTTATCCTTTACCTTTCTGTTTTGTTTTTGTTTTTGTTTTTTAATATAGGCTTTTTGCCAACAGTTAAAGCTGCACCGCGGTCTCCAGATGCTCCGGCAAGTCGTGGTCCTTCCCAAACTGATTCTCTCCCTGGTCCAGCTGTGGCAGCCACCAAAGAAAATCTCCCTGTACTCAATACTAGAATAATCTGCCCAGGTAGTACAGATTTTGAAGCATGGTGTTTTGTTAAGTATTTCTGTGGTAATGTATAAGTACTCATTTCCCATGAACTCAAATATATTTATTCCTAATGATAAATGTTCCTAAGACAATGTTTTTGCCATACTTATCAGTAGGGATCCAGGTCTTTAGATTCTTCTGTGTGTCACAGTTTGCTAGGAATCATGAAAACACATGTTTCTTGACCCTTCTCTGAGAAATTATAATGCCTTATTTTTGGAAGGGAGTTCAGTTATCTCTTATTAAATATTCACAGTAAAGCTTCTCTATACTGTGACCTCTAAATGCACGTATCTTCACAGCTTTCTTTTGGTTTTAAGTCACTTGTCTTTTTGTAGACATTTTTAGCCTAGTGATACTGTTTTATTTTTTGAACATCTTACTATAGTACCAATAAAATAAATTTACCTTAGATTAGACTAGTATTAAGGACTACAAGCAGGAGATGGAGAAAAGCATTGATACCTCATAGGTCTATTTAAATACCAGTTGTTTTCACTTAAAAAAAAAAATCGCCCAGCTTCATTCAGGTAGGTTAAACCCTAAAATCAGTGTCTTATACAAGTTCTTGTTAAAGATGAGTCACAGTTGAATGATAATAGAGACCAGTACCTCACCTTCAGTAGTGGACAAAATAACTACACAGAAGTTTAATAAGGAAATAGGGTACCTAAAAGGTGCACTTGAGAACACTCAATCTATGCACTGTAGAATTCATATGTATACAGTCTCCTCCTCCCCCTCCTCCTCTTCCTCCCCCCCGGCCCATCCTCCTCTTCCTCCTCCTCCTCCTCTTCCTCTTCCCCCACCCCCCACCATGGTGCTGGAAATTGAAACCAGTACCTCTATACTGAGCTCCATCCCTGTCCCTTTTTTTTTTTGTATTATTGTTAGTTTTAAAGTTGAGACAGGGTCTCACTAAGTCCACAAGTTGCCCATTGTGGCTAGAATCCTTCCCTCAGGCTCCCAGCGTGTTGGGATTACAGGCACGCATACCATACCTGGCTGTGGAGAGGGATCACTGAACTTCAAAGGAATAAGAAGACACAAATTAGGGTGCAGAGAGGCTGCTGCATGTGGGAACACTATGAAGATCTGAGCAGATGACAGGTGAAAAGGAAGGCTTCTTAGGAAGACAGAACTTGAGGCGACTGAGAGTGACCAACTGGTTGTGAGGAATTTAGATGACTCCAGTGTTCAGGTTTGAAATTAAAACAGTTTTGGAATTCCAAATACCATGAATTACCATTCATGGAATAATCACAATAAGGCAACATATTAATCTCATTTCAGCCACACATTTTAAAAAGTAGCAATCTCATTTTACTTTATTCTTGTCAATAACACTGAGTTTTTATCTTTGATACATCTCTTTAAAATTTTAAATTTAAACTTAGTATTATCTACATTTTGAAAATGTAAAAGTGCTAATTCCATGACATTTTGGGTAATTCAGCTTTTCTTGTAGATTCCTTGTAGACATTATTATGCTATTGGCAACAAAGAAAGCAATATATATTTGTTGAAGTTACAGAGTTACTGGAATGGTAAATGAGAAAATGTCACAAAGAGACTCCACAGCTTCATCTCTTTAATTCTTGACAATATATAGATAACATATTTAGAAGTTATCAAAAACCCTGTATTTGTAACTATTACAGTTCCTAGTTTTGATAGAGATGAGTAGGCATTGAAAAATATACTTTGGGAGTGATTTTGATGTGAGCCTTGAATGTACTGGTCTTTCCTTTTTCTTGAACATGTTGTGATCCTTTATGTATTTATTCTTTCATTTAGGTTTAAGAGCAGGACTAGCTGCCTCAATTGCTGGGAGTTCTATTATCAACAAAATGTTACTAGCAAATGTTGATCCTTTCGGTGCAACGCCTTTTATTGACCCCGACCTAGATTCAGTGTAAGAAAATGCTTTTCTAATTACTTTTGTTTTGGCTTTGCTTACTTCTGTTTTACATGCATTTTGTAACATTTTAAATATAGTACAGTGTATTTGGCTCCACATTCAAAAAAGAGTGACTGACAATTTCAGAGGTTCATCGTGCTGGCACAGTGAGACCTTCGTGGCCTGTCTCTGAGGCAGGTCCCTTCCAGCCTGTTCTCTGCAAGAGCAACCCTGGCAAAGGAAGGCATGGCTTCTCTCACTTTTTCCTGGAGACGTTTACTTTGTAGTCCCTTTCCACCTGTATTTATGCCGTCCTTCAGCTGCTTTTCTTTCAGTCTGACCAGATCTGCCACCTTTTCCATATGCAGCATCTAGGTTTACTGATTTCGAGAAGCTTCTGGCCCACATTGATCTTCTCCCTTCTTAAAATTCCTAAAAACATTTCTGACAGGTCGAGACACTTTTCTTTCTCTTACCTGCATTTAATTTTGCTTTTGTTGTATCTTATTTCTGTAATGGGATTCCTCAAAGACAATCTTATGTTTTAAACTTTCAAAAATACTTAGAAGAAGGGATTAAAACTACAAGCTTTTTGCTCTAAATATACTGGAGACTTTCTAATAATTAAGGGGCATGCTGGCGTTGGAGTAGAAGCCTTCCATAGTCATCCTTAATTGTCTGTGGAGTAAGAGGCTTGCAAAGGGGGCAGAAGCCACATTGAATAGAAACCAGGTTTTCTGCCACTGCTGTGCCTTGGCCACCACCCCTTGTGTCACGTGTGCTCGTGTATTGTGGTTGTGCAGAGAATGACTCCTGCTAACCTTCATGATTTATGAGGAGTAGGAGCCTCACAGGAATTTAAAATCATTTTTTAAGTTCCTTCTTGTGAACAAATGTCACGTTATAGTGAATTTATGTTACCTTTCCTTATTTTCATAGAGATGGATATTCAGAGAAGTGCGTTATGAACAATTACTTTGGGATTGGATTAGATGCAAAAATTTCATTAGAATTTAATAATAAGAGAGAAGAACACCCTGAAAAATGCAGGTAATTGTGAAAATAGCAATAATGTTATTACATGAAGGCAATTTTACTTAATTTCATTTATTATCTCTTTTGCTTGCTCAGCCTTTAAGAAGCAAATAAATAAAGTTTACTGAGATTCCTTGCCAATATTTCTCTTCAGGAGCCGAACTAAAAATTTGATGTGGTATGGAGTCCTTGGGACCCGGGAATTATTACAAAGATCTTATAAGAATTTAGAACAAAGGGTTCAACTTGAGGTAAGTTCATCTTCAAGTAAAGACATATCCAGGGATCTTATGTAGAAAAGTAATTTCATGAGTGAGCTAATTTGACCTGAGTTCCTCTGATTAATGATTAAACATTCAAGGAAAAATGTGGGCTACGGCCCCTCCCGGGGGAGAACCACCAACTAGCATCTCCTGTGATCCGCACCATGTTGGAACTTAGGGTGCTGGGAAACCAAGCAGCCAGCCTCCCTCCCTGCTAAGCAATAGTGAGCCTACTGGTGCACGGGCTGAAAGTCAAACATCCCACTTCCCCTATCCTCCTTTTTCTGCCCCCCATTAGCAAATGGGAACCAGAAATCTGGGCATCTCTAGGGAGGTTGACATAGTAAATTAGGGGGATTTCCTTCTACCATCTCTTTGAAGGGAAATACTTTTATTATTGTTTTGCTTTATTCTGATTAATGGTACTGCTCTATTCAATATTCTGTTTTGATAACTTCAAAAAAAGGAAGCTTTGAGTGAAATATTTTAAGCCCTAAAAGAAAACGTCCAACACGAATTGATCTACCCCTCAAAACTATCTTTCAAAACTGATGGAGAAATAAGATACTTCCATGCCAAGGAACACCAGAGGAAATTCATGACTATGAAACTAACATTCCAGAGTATTCTGAAGGGCATGCTAAAAAGAGATGACAAGGATTACAACTCCATGAACCCCGGCAGAATGAACCCACCAGGCAAGGCAAACAGTTAAACAGAGGGGACAAAAAGGAAGCCAGAGACAGGAAAGTAACATGCAAGGATAAGTCAATACATAGTAGGTATAACCATCAATGTTAATGGCTTCAATTCACCAGTCAGAAGAAACAGGGTGCTTCCAAGCGGATCAAGAAGCAAGGCCCAGCAATATGAGAAACACTTTCATTCAAGAAGAAATTTATAGACTGGAAGTCAACGGATGGAAAATAATACTCCACGTGACAGGAATCTAGAAAAAAGCAGGGGCAGCTGTTTATTTGTAGGCAAAAATGGATTTCAAGCCAAGTCTGACTGATTAAGATAGAGAAGATCACTATATTTTTGCAAAGTGAATAATCCAAGAGGAGGAGATAACAACCACAAAAATATATATGCACACAAAATATCAGTACACACAATTCTATAAAACAAGTATTAATGGACATAAAAATCACTAAGTACTAATAACAAGTGTAATGGGGGACGTCAATACCCCACTATTATAGATAGATAAAATAGACAAAAAATTCAACAACGAAATATCAGAACTGAAGCAAATTTTTGACAACTTTCAATGGAACTTTTGATTTCCTGTGTATCTCTTTGGAAAAAAAAAAAAGAAAAATGTGGAAGTGTCAGTTGTATGTTGAAGGCGGTATAGACATTGACTATGAACACTTAACCGTGATTATCATTAGCTGCGGATAAGGGGCTGCTGTGTAGCACAGGATCCCATTGGAAAGGTGGAACTGTGAAGTGCATTTTTAGAACAGGATGTTTAGTGGGCTTCTTCACTTAAGTTACCCAGTTCTGGTCCAATTCTGACATTCTCAGATTTCACAGACTCCTCAGTTAGATGAGCTGAGCAAAATAACACAAAGCCTACTTCATAATAAAATGTTGAACATCTGAAACTAATGTATTGAAAACAATACTACAAATGGAAATTAGAATGGCTGACGGTAATACTGTTATCCTTTCTTAAGTTTGAGTGTGCTGTGATTCTGCCCCATAACCAGCCACCTTAAGGATTATGGAATTACTATCTCTGAGATCAAACTCACTAGATGGTCTTAGTTCAGGTGAATTTGCAGCTTCTGCTGGTGGCTCAGGCTTTAGATGAGACACTTGAGGGGTACAGCTGTTTTTTGATCTCCACTTGCAAAGGGCCTGACACTATGGACCTTTAGACATTGTGAGAAACTATGTAACCCTTCTACAAATATTTTTAAATGTATTATATGTAATACACTAAGAAGCTAATAGTTAAATTAACAAACTATTTTTTACATTGTTAAAGGGTAATATGTGTTTCATCATTACCAAATCAAAAATCTACTGGCAAGGGGGCTGGGGATTTAGCTCAGCGGCATAAGCGCCTGCCTTGCAAACAGGCAGTCGTGAGTTAGATCCCTGGTACCAATAAAAAGGAAAAAGATAAAAAAAAAAAAATCTACTGGCATGTCTAATTTCAAAGGAATGATGAACATAAATGATATCTGAAACATCTTGTAATGTGACACAGAAAGTCTGCATATCTGTTGACAAGGCGTAGCTGCTGCTTATGTCTGATTTGTTTCCAACTTTTATAACTGAGAGCAGTGCTAAATCTTGGAAGTTAGCGCAAAGAGATATATTTTTACCATCAAGTTAATAAACCCTGTGTAACTGATTTCTGAACTTCAAGAACCTTTGATTTCTATGTAGATGTTAAATGATTTTTTTTTTTTTTTTTTGGTACCAGGTATCAAACGCACAAATGTGCGCTTACAAGGCAGGCACTTATGCTGCTGAGCTAAATCCCCAGCCCATTAAATGATCTTTTTAAAAACCCCTAAAACAAAATACATGAAAACATGCTAATATATGGAAAAAGTAGAGAATTTTTTCCATTATTTAATCAAAGAAAAATATCCTCCTAGAAATAACAGATCATTGATGCAAGCCCTGTTGCCTAAATACTCATTTTCCTAATGATGGTTCACTTGAGATAAAGGTGGAGAAAAGAAACCTGTACTTTTGGAAGGTTTTCTCAGAGAGATTCCTGCATCAGTGACAGTCTTTGGCAAATAAATGGTTCTTTTGCTCCCTTAAGTTTTCTTTCTCTTTTATATTGTGGTATGGAAGGAAACTGATTCCATGTCCTGACTTTGATTTTATGCTGAAGAAAGAAAAAGATGATGGTTTCTCTATCTTCAAAATGAATGAAATAATGCTTTTGTGCAAGTTAGAATTCAGTGAGCTAAGGAAAAAAACATTACTCCATAAACTTAAAAGAGCTATACAAATATAAACTGTTTCCCAAGATGTAGCAATTTTTAGTTTTATATGTTCTTAACTTCCAGTATCACTAATATTTATAATTCTCTTTCCAGTGATGGAATAACATCAACAGAATAATACCAACACATTTTGCTACTTTTACAGTAGCAAACTAACTTTGACATATAAATGCAAGCATTTCATTAAACATTTCAATTAAGAAAGAGAAAGGCAACTTTCTGCTCATATTACATATAACTCACATATGTCAAGCAGCTTGTTCTATTAAGTGAAATAATGATTGCATACTCTTTTGAATCCTTTAAGTATTAAAATAACTTGAAGGAAACAAGTAACTTCTTAAAAGCAGTGTTCATCTGTAGGCTATGATGAAACAGATGATAGAGGATACATACTTGTATCATTTGCATTTTTGGTTATTTCATATAATTCCACAATCTATACAGTTTTAAAAACTTAAGTATTTTGTTTATTGCATAATGGTAATTTTCTATATTTTAACACAAATGATTATTATAACTACTGGCTAAACTTTTATAATAATTAAATTTTACTGAATTATTTCAACATTATTATCTTCTTAAAACTTTATAAAGTAGGTGTTAATATCAAGTCAGAGAAGAAAGACACATGCTCAAGAAAGCAACTCTTTTGTTAAGATAACAGTACGTTAATTAAAGAAAGAAATTATGATGTGTTCTAAGAACCTTCTTATTCCTTATTGGCCATACTGTGTTCTAGGAACTGTTAATCCATTTAACAGGTGAGCAGTGTGAAACTCTGAAAGTTTAAGGGACTTACCCAGTGCTAAGTGATAATTCAAACCAAGTCCATGGAAGAAAATATTTAAAAGAAAACACAAATTGTAAGGGGGGAAAGGGGAAAAGGAGGAAGAGAAAAAGGGGGAAATATATATATATATATGATAGTTAAGATAATTATACAGGTAGCTTGTCTTAGTTCACTGAAAAGTTTGTGCTAATATTGTTTGAACAAGATATCATGCCTGTATGTTGTACTCTGACTAACTACTATAAAGGCAACAATATGCAGTATATTAATTATTGTAACTTTTTTATTGTTATTTTTATATTTTTTTCTCTTTTCAAACAAACAAGCCCATCAGTTTCCCACTATACCACATTGCCTGGTCAAAGGAGCCAAAGAAAGGCAAACACTAATCAAAACAACAAAGTAAACAGAATATTGAGGCATTTTGCAACCTCATGGGCCCCAAATGGAAATGCAGAGCAGTAGGGAAGATTATAAAAAGATGTAATACTATTGAACATCTTCTTTAGTCACACAACAATCTATGTAACCTGTTTTGGTCATGTTTTTCCCAATGAAAAATATGAAGTGAGTTGTAAGCACTAATTTTTCTATGAAGTGAATATTGAGCACTGAACTCTGGGTATTTTGTTTAATGCATACATGTTAAAGGCAGTGTATAAAAATACTGTAATTTTTAAAAAGTCAAACCCTATTTTAAGAAAATTCTTTCTCGAATAGGAAGGGGATCAAGAAATGGAGTAAAGGAGGGGAGAGAAAGGGGATGAACCAGGAAATTAAGACGTGTTAAGTACATAGGTACCAACTCCATACAAGGAATATAACTATGTATTACAAACATGTACTAATTAAAAATAGTAATAATAAATTTAAAAATTAAATCAACCTGAACATTTATGAGAAGGCAACAATTGTAAACATGTATTCGCATCATGTATAACCATGTCATCAGTCAAACCCCCCTTTATGTATTTAACTGGTAATTTAACTTTCATGTAAGTGACTAATTAGAAGAAAAATAATACAGAATGCTTCCCGAGCATGTGTTTGGCTGGACCTGGGTTCTAAAATACTTGTAAAGCTCAGCTTTGCATTTTGCCATCGCCACTTAATTACAGAGCATTGGCAGGTACCACAGGCTCTGAGAAGTGCTGGGTGAGAGGAGCAAGGCAGAGCTGGCCCCTGCCTGGCCTGCTTTCAGAATGATGCCTTAAACAAATCCATAGGATACCACCATCCAGTAGGAGTCTCACAAGTGGCCTCAAAAGAAGGCTCAAGAAAAATAAAAGCTGATTTGAAGAGGAAGAGAAAGAGAGAAAACATTCTTTAAAAAACAGGTTTAAATAACAGCTTTTATGTAAGTTATTTATGCCTCCATTTTTTTTTTCTTTTTCTATTTTATCAGTACCGGGGATCGAACCCAGGACCACCTGCTTGCAAGGCAGGTGCTTATGCCGCTGAGCTAAATCCCCAGCCCAATGCTTCCATTTTTTAAAATAAGGCTCTTTGCACATGTTTATGTTTTATTGGTCCATGTTTGCCGACATAATTATCACACTGTTCATGGGGAAGTGACGCGTGTGCAGGACACAATCCCCTTCACTCCCATCCTTGCCCCATCTCTTGCTCTCCTTCCTGCTTGCAAAAGGTCTGTCTCTCTGCTTCCTGTTATCTTTTATTTTGTTCCTTATTTATATTTTAGGTTTCTCATATAAGAAAAGCTGTGCAATTTTTAAGTATGTGTGTTTGATTTATTTCACTTAACATTATGATCTCACGGGGCATCTATTTTTTTTCTACAAATTGCTCAAATTCATTCTCCTTTATGGCCAAGTAGTACTCCATTGTGTGTAAACATCACATTTTCTTTATTTACTCATTTGTTGATAGACATAAGGGCTACTTTCAAGGTTTAGCTATTATGCATTGTGCTGGTATAAATGTATATCATAGTAATATGATAGCTCTAAGTCCTTCAAGAAGATACCTAGAAGGGGAAGAGCTCAGTGGAATGAAATTTCAAGTTTCAATATTCAGATTTTAGGAATCTACATAGTAATTTCCATAATGGTTCTATTACATTCCCAACAATACAGAAGAATTTCTTTTCTCCCACAACCTTGCCAGCATTTGATATTATTTGACTTCTTGATGATAGCTTTCCTTTCTGGAGTAAGATGGAACCTAAAAAAAATTTTATAAAACATCGAATGTAAGTGTTCTTTAATTGGCATTTCTCTAATGACCAGAGATATTGAACGTTTTTTCATGTATTTATTGGTCATTTATACTTCTGAGAAGTATATGTTCATCTCAATTGCTTGTTTTTTGATTGGGTCTTTTATTGGAGGGATATTCTTTTTGAGTACCTTATATATTCTAGATATTAGTCTTCTGTTTAAAGAATAGGTGGCAAATTTTTACCTCCTTTCTATAAGCTGCCTCTTCCTTTGCTGTGATCTTATTTTTTGATTCTTAGTATTATTGATATTGATACTATTTTTCTTGATATTTTTTCTCATACAGTTGGTGTTCAGTTCAGAAGGTCCTCGCCTATCCTTTAAGTATTTAAACTATTTTAGTGGATTGTGTTTCTGTTCTAACATTTAGTTCTTTGATTTATTTTGATTTTAGTTTAGTACACAGTGAGAGAAATAGTTCTAGATCTTTTCCATGTGAATAGCCAGTTTTCCCAGCACCATTTGTTAAGAGGCTGTCTTTTTTCTGGTTTATGTCTTTGATCGTTTTTGTAAAATCAGAAAGCTAAGTGTGCATGGATCTTTTATTCTGTCCCATTGATAATGCTTCGAGAACCATATTGAATCGGGCTGGTGATAATGGACATCCTTATCTTGTTCCTGATTTCAGAAGGAAAGCTTTAACCTTTTCTCATTTAATACTCTGCTGGCCTTTGATTTGTCTTAAATTGCTTATATCAGATTGAGATAAGGTTCTACAGTACCTATTTTCTTCAGAGTTTTTATCATGAATGGACATTGGATTTTGTCATAAGCTTTTTCTAAGTCCAGTTAGATGATCCTGTAATTTTTTTGTCCTTTTGTTTATGTGATATATTTATTACACTTACTGATTTGCATATATTAAATCACCTTTGCATCCCTGAGATGAATTTTTGGTCACGATGTATGATTTTTTTTTTTTTTATAAATTAGCACTTTTGTTTGCCAGTATCTTGAGGACTTTTTGTGTATGTGTTCATTAAAGAGATTGGCGTGGGTCTCAACATCTCTCTCTCTCTGTCTTTGTGTCTCTGTCTCTGTCTTTCCCTCTCTCACTCTCTTTCCTTTTCTGTCTCCCTCTCTCTCTCTTTCTCTCTCCTTTTGGTTGGGTCTTTTTCTCATTGTGTCCTGTAAGTTCCTTATATTGTCCCGGCATTTTCATTTGATCCTAGAAAACGGCTGATTTCTTTTGTTAACCATTGATTATTCAAGAGAGTATTGTTTAATTTTCATGTGTTTGCATAATTTCTCTGATTCTTTTGCCACTGATTTCTAGTTTCATTGCACTATGATCTGATAATGTGCACAGACAGGATAGTTTCAATTCTTTTGTGCTTGCTTAAATGTGTTTTATGAGCTAGAATGTGAGCTTTTTTTAAAAAGTCCCGTGTGCTGCTGCAAAGAATATGTGTTTTATTGTTGCTAGGTGGGACATTTTATATATGTTCCATTTTTTCAAAGGTTTGGTTCAACTCTGATGATTCTTTGTTTTTGTCTAATTGATCTATTAGTGAAAATGGGATATTGAGGTCTCCCAATATAATTGTGTTACTGTTTATATGATCATTTATGTCTAGTAGTGCTTGTTTTATGAAGAAATGTGTAAGAAGTATTTACAAATGAGCAAGCATTGTCAACATACTTTGCTCCCTCACCCTTTTTCTTGGGTCTTGCAGAATGATGCTCCTGTTATTTTTGTCTAACCTCTGACCTTTGTATCTCGCAGTGTGATGGGCAGTATATTCCTCTCCCTAGTCTTCAAGGCATCGCAGTGTTGAACATCCCTAGTTATGCTGGAGGCACCAACTTCTGGGGGGGAACCAAAGAAGATGATGTAAGTAGCATAATGGGAGTGAGATTTGTTTCCTCACAAGTTGTATTACTGGAATACTTTCTTTTTAAAATGTGCTTTTTAATGTTCACTTTAAGTGAGAATACACTGGGGAGGTGAGAAGTAGAATAGATTTAAGATTTTATTTGAATACTCATGTATATACTGTAAAATTTCTTATCCTGGAATGTAGGTAATAATGTTCTGGATAAACAAAAATGAATGCACACTGTCAAAGTAAACTTTGGGAGATAAAAGGGAGAAACTTTTTAATAGCATCCCAAGTATTATTTTTCTGCTGCTATAAGAATTAACACAAATTTTACAACACATGTGTCATCTTACAGTTTTGTGTAGTAGAGGTCTGCCACAGTCTCCTTGGGCCAAAAATCAAGGAATCAGTTGCAGTCTGTTCCTTCTGGAGGTTCTAATGGAAAATCCACTTCCTGCTCTTACCAGATTTTAGAAGTTGCCCATATTCTTTCCTCCATTGTCTTAACCAAGGCAGATTGAAGCCTCATACTGTACCATTTTGGTCTCCTCTTCTGCCTCCTCCTAGAGTTAGTAACCCTTGTGACTGTAGTGACTCCACACAGAGCATGCAAAATAACCTCCCGATCTCAAAGTCCTTAATTTAATCACATCTGCAAAGTTCCTTTTGCCAAGTTAGGTAACATCGTCCATGAACATTTTTAGGGTGTAGGTGGAGTTAACACCATAATGACATTCAGTACTTTTAATTTTCTTAGCTTATATGTCTATTACTACTACTTTTAATTTTAGAAATATTAAGAAGGCATATTTGGCTAGTGAAGGTTAGGGCTGTTTTTGCTTTTATTCACCTATTTGAGAGTGGCTCTTAAATGAATTTACAGGGATTACATATAAAATAAATTGCAGTGTATTTTTAATATTTATGATATGAATATATTCCAGTTCTACTGAAATATAATTTATACTAACAGTCAACATTTTTTGCCAGCTGTTACCACTCTTAAATATTTTAAAGGGCAGAAATCAATGAGATTAAAATAAAGCAAGCTGACATTCTTTGAACACCTACTAAGCAGTTAAACTGTTTAAGAGTTTCATATTTGCTACAATATACACTTTTGTTGTAGTACTTGGATTGAACTCAGGGCTTTGAAAATGCCAGGCAAGTCAACCCCGAAACAATATCCAACTTTTAATCTAAATTTTATTCCTGCAGAAAAATGGAGGCAAAGTCTCCATACTCAGTAAGTAGCAGAAAGGATTTCAATGCACACATTCTGATAACCAAACTTAGGAGAAATGATTGGTAAATTTGTAACCTGATATTTTCAGTGAAAATTTTAATTAGCCTGCTACAATTTTATTGATTTTTTTCTCAGAGCAATAACTATGATATAATAAAGGGAAGCAAAATAATGCAGTTATATAATCTAAATTTAATTTTTAGAATAAATTAATTTTGTGAAAATATATGTAAGATAAAGGCAGTCTAGATGATTTTTATACGATTTTCATACTCTTATGTACTAAAAAGTTCTTATGTTAAGATATAAGATACATATACAATATGTCTGTCAGAACATTCCAAGTAAAGTGGATCATAAATTTGCATGTTTATTAACTTTAACCCTATGAAGTTATATTACTCTGTCACATTTTGGGGTTTTAGATTTCTGAAAACTACATATATCATCTTATCAAAACATCTAGATGGGTATGATGGATGTTTAACACATTTAGAAATGTATTAGTCCAAAAAATGCTTTATGAGAGATTATTATATCTATGTGGCTATCAAAACTCTTTTTAAAACTTATGTTTATTTTAAGCCATTGTCAGTGATTTTTTTTGGATTATTATTATCTAATACTTACATTTTTGCTAATGGATACATATAATACATATGGGTTCTGGGGATGTCGCTTAGCTCCTGGTAGATACATTGGAGTTAGCCACTTTACCCAGTCTTCTGGTGAAATGTAATGCAGCTTTTCCTTTCAGATATTTACTGCACCATCATTTGATGACAAAATCCTGGAGGTTGTCGCAATATTTGATAGCATGCAAATGGCAGTGTCAAGGGTCATTAAACTGCAGCATCATCGAATAGCCCAGGTTGGTTTCCCTGATCAAATCTGACTTCACTTCTTGGGCCATGGAGGGATGAGGGAAGCTGTGGCACATGACGCCCACCCTTTTGTAGAAGATCGACTTTCTTGTCATGTTGCTTGTTACTGTCATTACAAGTAGTAAAGCATTGGAATTCAACCCCACAGCATGGACGAAAACCCAAGCCTAATCAGAGATTGATTGTGTCCATTCTTCAGGACGATTTGTGTTCTGAAGTAATGTGTTTGTTTTATTTCAGTGCCGTACAGTAAAAATCACTATATTCGGTGATGAAGGAGTCCCAGTGCAGGTGGATGGTGAAGCATGGGTTCAGCCTCCAGGAATTATCAAAATTGTGCATAAAAACAGAGCTCAGATGCTAACAAGGGACAGAGTACGTAATAACAACAAAGAAAGTCTTCTTCCGTAGTTTTGTCAAGCTGTTTTTAAAAATAAATTATTAATAATAGAAAACAAGGGAGATTTAAATTGTCTCTGAGATGTATCACTTAGGTCATTGTAGTTTTAAATATGAACAAATGTGTATTCAGTTTTGTTTTAAATGTTAAAAAAAGATTTAAGTTTTCAGAAAGATGGAGTAGAAAGTTCGGAGAATTTTAGTGTTCCTGCATGCTTCCTTCTCCCCACCACACAGAAGTTCCCGTTACTAACATTTTACACCAGTGTGACACATCTGTCACCACTGATGAACCAACTTTAATAATTACTGTTAACGAGAGTGCTAGTTATTATTACTGTTTGTGTCGTGTCCCCATGGGTTTCCACATATGTAATCACTTGTATGCTCCACTCAGTGTCATGTAGAATAGTTTCACTGTTTTCAGATTCCCAGTGTTCCATAGATTCATCTTTCCTGGCAATCATTGATCTTTTTACTACCTTCATAATTTTGTCTTTCTCAGATTATGTATTTTTAATTAGAGTCAACCTTTAATAAACAAGTCTGACAATATTCATGCTACCTAGTAAAATAGTAAAAAGGAATCAAAACATGGAGAGTTTTTAACTGTATTTGCCTTTATTTACTACAAATAGGAAAATTTTAAATGGCTTTTTATTTTGTGCTGAGAGGTTGAACTACTAAGCGAGATGTTATTAAGCTACATCCTCAGCCCTTTATTTATTTTTAATTTTGGGACAACAGCTAAGTTTTCCAAAGTGGGCCCAAACTTGAGATATTTCTGCATCAGCCTCCCAAAATGCCAGGTTTATAGAAATTCATCACCATGCCCCATTTAAAATGTCCTTTCTAATACTTGTGATATATTTAATGACATGTTATATTAGAGAAAAAGCAATCACAGTTTCAAAAGACTCAATGTCTAAATATACGTTTACCTCGGTCTCAGATTCTAAAGTAACATTTATTACACAGGCCTTCGAGAGCACACTGAAATCTTGGGAAGATAAACAGAAAGGTGACTCTGGAAAGCAGGTCCTTCGAACCCACTTGTACATCCAGCACGCTGTTGACCTGGCCACGGAAGAGGTGTCCCAGATGCAGCTCTGCTCCCAGGCTGCAGAGGAGCTAATTACCAGGTACTGTGGTCCTGCGGGCTCTCTGGACCATGAGAACTCTGATCACAGCCTATTTTGTTTTTGATTTAGTTTGAATATGTAGTTCCAGCCATGGGTGGTATCAAAAAGTGGGGTACTTGTTGCCTCTTGTACCTCAATAGTTGCTGTGCTCCTTTCTAGGAACCCTTCAGTCTGAACGCCTCTTCACTCTCCACAGGCCAGATCTTGTACTTCTAGAAACACTTTTTTTCTCTGCCACGTAGTACGCTTTCCATTATGATTTCCTATTTTATATATGACATTTACACTATATATCCATTTAAAATACTGCTTTATAATTATTAATGAATGTTTATGGAATGCAGAGAGAAGCCTGTTCCCAAAGAGAATCAGAAGTCCTAGAATTAGTTTCTGGCAAGCATGAAACAGATTTAGAGACTCTCATAAACCAATTTTGGAGGACAGAAATGAAGTTTCAGTGAGGAGAAGATACCCTGGACAAGTGTCTTAACTCCTCACCTAAATCTTACCTATCAAAGGGGAACTGATAAGATCTACTTTACTGTAAGAATTAATTGATGCTCTAGAGGTAAATTATATGCCTGGCAAGTACATAAGCAGATTGGAAAGGGAAATTATGATGGGTTCTGTGCTGGACTGAAGAACTTAAATTACATTATAAATATCCAAGAGACGGTTGCAGTTGACAGTTAGAGAGGTTGGTCAAATTTGGTCTGCTTTTTTCATTCTTTGAAAATTAGAATACCGTTTACCTACCTCTCTTCTCCTAGTAAGTTAACCATTCTCCAAAGTTTCTTACGATTATGATTTCTAAGTTAGTAATGTTGAGGTTCATTTACGTTGTCTCTTTGTGCTTTGGAGTGTAATACAATGCTTACCAATTAAACTGCTGCCCTGTACTCTTGATTCAAGTGTGCAGGACTTCTGCCGTTTTCTTGTCTGTCCTTTCTAGAGTGCAGGTCTTTTATCCTTGCAGATGTCAGAAGTGAGAAGTATTTGGATGGCCTTGCTTTTTCTGCTTCTGTAAGCCTTACATCACTTTCTAGCAACTGGTGGAACTTTTCTTCTGTTCTCTTCTTTGCTCTTGGTACCTTACAGGCTTTTGTCTTTCCAGGGCTGTTCTTGGAGTTTTGAGTGTCAGGGAGTGTGGCAGAAACGCTTTGGAGTGGGATGGATATAGATCGTGGCTTTCCCAGTTACAAACTCTGTATATGGTTGTAATCTCTCTGAGCCTTAGTATCTTCATCTATAAAGTGGGAAAAATGAGTCATAGCTCTGTAAGACTGTGAGATTTAATTTGTGTAAAACATTCATATATGGATGGCAAATATAGTACTGCATTTCCTCTAATGTATTTGAAATTTCACTGAATAAAGCATAACTTTCTACTCTATATTTATGACCTCTCTCACTTTCCAATTGTAGGGCAAAATTTAGTAGTATCACTATATTTGGTTAATAGCACATTAGAAATGTTTGTCTAATAAAAAGTCTTATATATGTATATGTATATATTTTCAATATAGTATCTTTTGTGGCGATGAGGTGTGAGGTTACCCTGTAAAATCCATAATTGAGTGCCACTGAAATGTTTTTTCTGCTTGCTAATCTTCATAGCTTTTAATTTTATCCTACTTCAGTACTCTGCTCCCCATAAAAATATCAGCAATGCTCCACAATTTTTTTGTTCATTTATTTTATTTTTGCTCACAGGATTTGTGAAGCAGCCACAATTCACTGTCTCCTAGAGCAAGAACTGGCCCACGCCGTGAATGCCTGCTCACACGCACTGAACAAAGCCAACCCGCGGTGCCCGGAGGTGAGGACTGAATGGTAAATTCTCATTCTACAGATTCTTTTAGTATTACACATGTATTTGAACACTACAAAATATGCCGTGCAAATAAACACTGTGTATACCGTATGTGTGTCTATCAGAACTCAGAGTAAATTTGTGGCCAAATTTTTGTTTTATTTTTCCTGCTATTTTTTGATTTCTGCTTATAGATGTTCTCCTCTCCTCTCCTCTCCCTCTCCCTCTCCCTCTCCTTCTTTTCTCTTCTCTCTTTTCTCTTTTCTATCTCACCTTTAATCACTGACACTGCCTGAGGACCAAACCCAACGCCTTGTTCCTCCCCACCCCCAAGTCTATCTCTTTTTAACCGTTGCCATCTTTCCTCATTCCTCCTCTTACTGTCTCCCCTGCCCTCTGGTAAAGGACAAACCTAGAAAGTGTCAGCTTTATTTATTAGTGTTGTGCACTGGCACTATTTGTGCTTCATTTTGTTTTCCTAAATTATAAAATGGAGTGGATAGAATATAACTCTTGAAATATGAAACATGGTACAGTAATATGTTGTAGAAAAAAACTGATACATTATTTTATTTCTTTAATTCCGCAAAGTAATTTGGTTGGCACTACTGAGATGGAGCTAACTCCAGTTGACCCTTGAATAATATAGGAGTTAAGGACTCTAACCCCGCACAACACTTGCATAATGTTTGACCCCTTAAAATGTAACTACAGTTAGCTGCCGTTGACTGATAACACAAAAAGTCAGTCAACATATATTTTGCATGTTGTGTGTATTACACATAGTAAAAAATATGCAAGACTCATGAGACATCATTTTTTACTAGAATGCCTAATTTACTGGAGCGATGAACTGCTCAGGTGAACATGATTAGCATCACCTGCATTTTAAGCAGACGCTCTCAACACCTGAGCTCACTGCAGTAGCAACAAAAGTGGCTGCAAATTATGACAGTAGTACGGTATGTACTGCAGTTAATTTCATGCAGTTGTGACTTAATATGGCATCTTTGTGTTTACATTTCTTTTGACTACAAATGGTACCGTGTGAGGTCTGTATTACGTATTTTGATAAATTTTAAACTATTATGTTTGTGCATTATTTTATGGTCATAAATTAAACTGTTCCCTTCCTATATTTTCTAACTTCATAACCTACCTTTTTCTCAAATTTTTTTCAGTATTTCAGGGCTATGCAGTTCATCTGCAAGTTTTTCAACTGATCACATATACACAGTGCAAAAATCTACATATAAGTAGATTTCTGGTGTTTCATACTCAGGTTGTTCAAGGATCTATATGATCAGATAATGCCCCTTCAGGACATAAAAGCAAGGATACAGAATTTCAAATCAAGATACTTGGCAGTGGTTAATGTGTTGTGGATTGTGATCTTCAAAGTAGTTGAATGGCAGATACTGATGCCATCATACATATATTTGTAGGTGGAAATGTGGTCCTGAATATATTCACTGTAGTTAGTGCATTCTTTTGTTTCTGTGATATATTAATTAGAAGAAACATGAAATTTTGCAATTATAGAATTTTGGTAGATTTTAAAAAGTTATTTGTAAAGGGAACTTAAATTATAAGATTAAAATTTAAAGTAACTACTAATGGTGTATTTTCAATGTAGTACAAAATTAATGTGTCTTTGACATTCTTCTTTTCTAGAGTCTTACAAGAGATACCGCTACTGAAATAGCCATCAATGTGAAGGCACTGTATAATGAAACAGAATCCTTGCTGGTTGGCAGAGTTCCTTTGGTAAGGAAAAGACATGACTGATAACATAAGAATGATGAAATCTGTGGGTTTCACCTGCAGCAGGGAACCTACATGCAGCAGATCCAAAGGCAGAAGCTGCTTTTTGCCTCCATCCTTGGATCTTCTTGTTTTGTTAGTCTTTCATCTTCCAGAAATTATACAGCTAAACTTTGGAGGTAAGATCCAAACTAGCCAGGTGTGGGGATGCATGCCTGCGTTCAGCGCTTGGGAGGCTGAGGCAAGAGGATTGCTGCAAGTTCAAGGCCAGCCTGAGCTACAAAGTGAGTTCAAGTCCAGCCTAAACTACATAGTAAAACTCTGTATCAAAAAAGACAATAATAGTAGTAACAAATAATATAAAACAAAACAGTGATTAAGCAAAAAAACATTCAAGCTAAAATGACTATCACATGTTTGCAATCCCAGAACTAAGGAGGCTGAGGCAGGAGGATCACCACAAGCTTGAGGCCAGTCTGGGCTACATAGTACCTTCAAGGAGTAGAGGGTGTTTCCCCTCATAAATGCCATCACATGTTTATGTTATTCTGGTCTCTCCAGTTGGCTTTCAGAGCTTTGGGCTATATAAAACGTAGTTGGATATTGGTTTTTGCTCAAAAACAGAAGAAATCATGGGTTTTGTTCTTGGAGTTAACATTTGAAATACGATTGACGTGTTCCTCTAGATGTGCTTGCAGAAAGACACTTTATAGATGCAGTGTTTCAGATCTGTATTCCAAAACTATCCCTAGTTTCAGTTTACTCCTTGAAGTCAAATTTAGGCAAATCTGCATCTGACCATAGTCCGAGGACCTCAAGTATAAGTGCTAGCCCAGAGTCAGCCTTTCTTTAAAAGAACCTCACCGCTTGGAAATGTTCTAGCGTTTGAATCTTGTCGCCACCTAGTGTTAGATTTGATCATATTCACACATGCTGTTGTGTGGAGGCCTAATGAATGCATTAATCATCTTTTCCTTGCTTGTAACTATTCTTTGTTAGCATGTATCAACGTATTGTGTTGAAATGGAAGGAATCCCACATACACACACACACACACAAATTTAATTATCTGTCATTGACAAGTAATGGATGTTTGATTTAAAATATATTCTAGTGAATATTATCAAATCCTTTGACAATAGTATCACAGTAGTTAAGTATATTTTTAAAATAGTTTATTCCTTATGAGAAGTCAATTGTGGAATGACTATATAATAAGCATGTTATCGGTGTTATAAAGCATATATTCTTAGACAACAAAAGAAAGTGGTAAATTTATACAACAGGGTAGAAAATCTCCATATTTTAAACTACTAGAGAAAATTGATACCTTGAGTAACAAGGAGAAGGTAAAAAATCATAATAAATGATAATATTCTTTCTGAATTTTGAGTTCTGAAATTCTGTGGATACTTATATGGGTTCTCTACAGTTTTAAAGTAATTTATAAAAGTATTAGCTGAAAGAGACCTCAGGAGTAATGTGGTCATATTGTGCTATATCTGGAAGAGGCAAGTGAGACTCCTGAAAGCAGTTAACTTTCCCTTAGTTTGTAGTTAGTAACAAAGCAGGTCGAATACCCAGTCAACTGCCTTCCACCCCTGGGCATACAGCGTTTAAATCACCTTTGAATCATTTATTCAACTTGTAAGTACATTTGAATAACTTCTTTGAATAAACTACTGTAAATACCAGGTAATCAATTAAATTTTCTTTTTTTTTTTTTTTTTTTTTTGTCTTTTTCCTTTTTATCGGTACCAGGGATCGAACCCACGACTGCCTGCTTCCAAGGCAGGTACTTATGCTGCTGAGCTAAGTCCCCAGCCCCTAAATTTTCTTTAAAGTATCCAAACTGTAGTCCAGCTTATTAACCACTTTTCACATTGCTTTGATTTTATAATAGTTTTTATTTCAAAATTGGGGGATGTTCTTAAAATTATTTTAATTTTTTCAAGAACTTTTCAAATGTTTTGCTAATATAAAAAAATACTATTTCTTGTAGTGACTTGTGTAAATCAAAACAATTTTTGGCACAAATCAAAAAGTGACACAGTTTCACTGGGAATGGATAATTAGAAGAGAGGAATAAAGAAAAGAAAGAGGAAAGAGGGACAGAAGGGGAGAAAGGGAGAGACAAGAAGACTTACTTAGAAGGGACACCAAAAGTAACGTTGTATTGTGAAATCAGCATAGTAGTTATGAACATCATCTTTGAGAAATGCGAATTAGAGTAAATCTATCCAGATATTAAAGAATTAAAATACAAAAGAATTTGCTCTTTTTAAACACTGTTTTATTTTTTTAAAAATAACGTAATAAGCTGTTCGCCATAAAATGAAAGTCGTTCTATTTGAAGTTGTCACTGAGTCCTGTTTCGTTTTGCTTTTCACTGCTGGTCAGCAGCAGTTAGAATCTCCGCACGAGGAGCGAGTGTCCAGTGCCTTACACTCTGTGGAGGTGGAGTTACAGAAGCTCACAGAGATCCCCTGGCTGTATTATATCTTACACCCCAATGAGAATGAGGTACGTACAGTTCAGACTGTTTCCTTATGAATATAGACTTAAACAGTAGAATTTGAACTTACCTTTGAAAAAGAAACATTTAGGAAAAATAACTTTGGAATATTACTTTCAAATAGAACTGTTCTTAAATAAGGGGGGCAAAGCATGTTTGTGACCCTCGGCACTATACTGCAAGCAGAACATTTTCAGTACTAAAGTACACCATGAGCCTTTTTGAAAAAGTTACCACTGTTCTTTAGTGTGTAGCGTTTATAAATTCTTCCCGTTTGTCCTTATTCACAGACTGGGCTTTTATTCTCTTAATATTCTAAAATAAATCTCTTTTTCACTCAATGTGAACAGGAGCCTCCAATGGATTGCACAAAAAGAAACAACAGAAGCACAGTATTTCGTATAGTGCCAAAGTTTAAAAAGGACAAGGTTCAGAAGCAGAAGACAAGCTCACAGCCTGGTAGGTAGCCCACACGATGGGGAAAAGTGACTTTCGAAAGTGAGGTGATACCAGTGTGCCAGAGCTCGAGAGCGGTGAGCGTTGTCCAGTGTCATGAATATACTAACCATCATGGAACTGTACGGTATCAACCTAATATGGCAAAACCTTGGTTGGAATCTAATTGTTTTTCTTCCTTAAAGTTCAAGATTGAGATCATTTGGTAAGTGGAACATAGAAACTTTCACTTACCTCCTTTAATTTGATAAATATATTTTCCGCTTAAATTATATTTTCTCCTTCTCCTCTTAAAACAGTTATCTCCCAAGTTCACGCCCCTGATAATGACCATCTGCTGTGATACTTGCATTCTCAAAAAAACCCTTCTTCCTTTCTCACCTTCTTTGGAGGTTAACTTACTGCTATGCAAGCACTGAGGCACCATCAAATTCTGTGAGAGCTGCCTTTCACAATCACATCATCTCATAAATTCTTTATTTATAGGAATTTTCTAAGTTCTGTCACTTTTTTAAAAAAAGACAAATCTTACTTGTGATATTTATAGAGCAGCTAATGAAGGCATTTAAAAAACCAAATGCAACAAATAACTAGCTACACAATGTTGAATAAAATATAAGAGAATGACTACACACTGTGATGGTGAACCTTTTAGAGACTGAGTGCGAAACTGCTGGCCAAAACCCGCTGATTTAACACAGAATGCAACATTTCAATTCAACCGGAATACTGAGGTTTTAGTTTAGAAAAAAACCAACTCTACGTTAACATCTTTAATCTTAAAGGAAAAACAATGATATACATGCCGATGGTTCGCCATCACTAATCTAAGAGATCAGTACTGACAGTTTTAAATGACATCAAATTAATTTCACAGCACATTTATCGCTGCAGTTATTAACAGCAGTAGAATTAATAAAAGCCACACGTGAAGCCAGCAAGGCCGTAAGCAGGACGTGTGTGAAAATTAAGTGCCCCGTTTTAGATTTCAAATTCTTTAATTAGCGTGTTTAGCTCATTTTTTGCCATAACAGTTTTTATTCAGGAAAACTTAAGGAAATCATCAGCACTTATTTAAAACTTACGCCACTAATCTTAATGGTGCAAATAAGTTTTTTATGCATATTGTGTAATCTGGATAGTTTCAATGAAGATTTTGACAAAAACTAAGCATGGGTGCACGGTCATCAGTGTCTCTGTATGGTGAGATCTTTGTGTTGACTGGTAACCTGCATGGGAAAAAAGGACCTCGTTTTGTTGAAGCACCACTTTTGACCTTTCCTTTGCTAGCACTGCCTCTGCACTCTGTTTTGCATCTTCTATGGCCAACCTTTGCTTTGTAATGCGTTGAGCACGTAGAAATTAAGGGGGTTTTGCTCTTAACTTTGGTAGTTCAAAAATGGGGCACAGAGGAAGTTGCTGCTTGGCTGGATCTGCTCAATTTGGGAGAGTACAAAGAAATCTTCATCCGTCATGACATCAGAGGGGCTGAACTTTTGCATCTGGAAAGGCGAGATCTTAAGGTATTTCCTTTGTGCTATTCTTCTGCTCTTGAAAATTTTCTTGCAAAACAGAATCCTTTTTCCTGTACCTCTTCTGTTATGTGCTTTCAGCCTGGCTTGTGTTATGCAAATTTGCAATAATCTAACATTCATTGCCCTGGAGTCTGAGTTTCTTGTGTGCTTTCTAAACAAGAATGTCAACAATATTTTCCTGTCAAAATCGGTTTCTGGCTATTATGCTACAATGCAGCATGAATTTAGTGAATTTTCTCTGCATCCATTGTTGTGACTGTTTCTGTGCTAATCCTTCTACGTGGATCATGTTTCTATCAGTTTATTGTATTGGGTCAGCATGGAAAGTTGCAGTTCTTGCTGGCAAAGACTAAAACATCTAATGTAAAATTTAAAAACAATTTAAAATATTTGTAACAAAGCCTTCTTAGGCAGGTATGGTGGCACACACCTATAATCCCAACACTGCAGAGGAGGCTGAGGCAGGAAAATCCCAAAATCTCTTAAAATAAAAAATTTTAAAAGATCTGGAAATGTAGCTCAGGGAGAAGGTTATTATGTGGAACTAGAGGAGTTACTTATAAGCAGTGACTACTTATAGATAGTCCTGTGATTTTGCTGTGTTTCTAAACTGGCTGTTCATGGGTTACACAAATAAGTAGACTAATAAATTAAAATTCCCTTTCCATGACAGGGTATTAATATTCTGTTATTCTCAAAATAAATGTAGTATTTCCCTACAGTTTATTTATTTTTATTTTTTAGCAACTCAGGGCTTGTCATTCATGATACAGAAGAAGAATCATTAACTGATAGTCATTAGTGATTCTCTTTTATTCTTTGTGTGGAGACTCAATAGTAGAAACAGCCAAAGTGCCTTAGTCTGTACAAAAGTTAAAAATAGAATTTTACCAGGGTACGAGTATTACCATATGCTAGCATTTGAAAACTACAGATTAACACTGTTGAAGTGATGCTTTTGTTAGAGACTAAGTTCTAGATTGCAGAAAATTATAACAGCAAATTCCTTATATATTGGTGGGCTATTATGCCTTCATCTATAAGTTAGTGGAGCTCTTTGAATAGATGAATAGTTGGGTAATGTATAGATAGATCTTTGAGCAATCAATGTTTTTGCACATCAAGGAGTAGACACCACTCACATATGAAAATCTTAGCCAGAATAATAATAAAACAATAGCTAGCTCATTACCATGATTCAGAATCTCAATTCTGGAGCAGAATAAAGTAAATAAAGTTCATAAAGCAAAGACTGACTTAGAAACTTGGAATGAGTACATGAAAAGGTAAATGTAGGGGATCTTTTTAAAATTATTATTATTATTATTATTATTTTGTACCAAGGATTTAACTCATGACCTCATACTTGTCAGGCAGGTACTATGCTGCTGACCCACATCCCCAGCAATTGTAGGAGATCTTATAATCAAATATTAATGTAGCTTCTCAAATTATTGACAGGCTGTAATCCTTGTACATCAGTCCTGATTACAGTATTATGTCAGCTTCTCTAGATGATGTCTGCTTTCTAGAGACTTGTATCTCATTGTCCATGAAATAAGCATGTATTCAAGGAAAACACTGTATAAAGAATGCACACATAAAATATTAGTGTGTTATATAAATACATATACATGGTGTATAAATCCATACAAACATGTGAACACAGATATACACATACACATGCACACATACTATAACAAATACAGTACCTCAGTTTATGGACTTAATTAGTTCCACAATTCTGGAAAGACGACCACATTCATGTTTGTGTGGGAAAGATGGCTGTAGTTGTGTTTGTCACCTAGTGCAGAATTGGCAAACAAACCCAAAGTTTTGTCAGACGCTTCCATTTGCAGACCAAATTGTTTGTAAACAAAAGTATTCATGAACACTACCTGCATTTGCATAATGCTAAAGCACATGTATAAAGTGATGCAAAGTCAGAGTAAAAGGAACTGTGTTGAAGAGACACTAAGAAACCAGGCACGATGGCACACACTTGAAATCCTGTACCCAGAAGACTGAGGCTGGAGAATCATTGCGAACTCAAGGCCAGCCTGAATGAATTACTTAGTGAGACCCTGTCTCAAAAAACAAAACAAGACCAAAAAAAAAAAAGAATAAGAAACTATGCATGGTGGCACATGCCTGTAATCACAGTCTTTGGAGGACTGAGGCAGGAGGATCCTTGTGAGGTCAAGAACAGCCTGGGTTACAAAGTGAGCTCAAGGCCAGCCTGAACTGCATAGCGCGACCCGGTCTCAAAAAGACCAAAAGAAGAAAGGAGATGATTGAGGATTATTTTAGTGAACTTACTAGCTTTTTATTGTTCTGTTTTGTTTTTATTTTTAATGCAAAGTATTTCCTTGCCTTAAAACTTTTATTTTAGACATCTGTATTGACATTTTGTTTTTAACTTTATCTATTTTGTTCTAAAACAGGATATGAGGGGGATGAAAAAGAAAATTGTACAGGAAAAGCCTTGTGTAGCACAGAACCGTTATGTGAGCTATCTGTGCACCACTGTGAGAGGATTCCTGATAAAGCCGACTTAAAGTAGAGAAGATGTATTTTGGCTCACAGCTGTGCAGGTTTCAGTCTGCGAGCTCCACGGCTGTGGGCCCCCGGTGAGGCAGAACAACTTGGCAGAAGGGCGTGGGCAGCAAAGCTGCTCACCTCCCGCAGCCAGGAAGCAGCCAGGAAGCAGAGCGAGTTGGAAGGGGTCGGAGTGAAGGCACCAGGGACGAGGCCCACCCTGCAGAGGTGTGTCCCAAGTGACCTGCCTCATCCCAGTAGGCTCCACATTCTCATAAGCCCTATGAGCTATGAACTCATCGATCGATTAATCTACTTTAAAAAATTAGAGCCTTTGTGATCCATTTAACTCCCCAGATCCCATCCGCTGGCAGCCAGACCTTCAGCACAGTGAAAATTGAAACATCTTGCCTGACCTTTTTGTGAACTTCAGGATTGCATCAGCGACAGAGCCTCTGTATCTCTCCCTCTCCCACAGTAGTCTCTTTTGACACTTGGATGACACGTAGGGATATAATCTTAGCATGTCTAAAAGCGAACTGTTGATCTCCTCTGCCGCTCAAGTGCTCTGCATTTTAGTACGTCACACGTCTGGTCCTCCAGGTGCTGAAGGCAGAGAAGCCCAGAGACTCATTTAGCAGGAGATGAATTCATCTCCTGCTCCAACCTGTCCAGCCTCTCAGCAACTCACGGTGGTTCTGGTCTCCATTCATTGCTCTCATCGCCTGTCCCAGCCCTGTACTACACTAATGTCACATCTGGCCAGGAGCCTCCTACCCACCCTTTCCACTCTCCTCCAATCCATTGTCCATCGTCTCTCCGTAATCCACAGTGCAACCACCGTGGTACGTTAACATCGTCCATCAAGTGTATCACTTAAAACATTTCAGTGGCTTCCCATTTCTCTGAGAATAAAGACTCCCATCTTTATGGAGGCTTGAAAGCTTCCTCCACCTGTTTACTGTTCCTCCTAGGGAGTCTCTGGCCCCTCGATGGGTTGTGCCCCATCCACTTGACCTAAGATTTCAGTTGCTTGAAAATGCCTAATATTTCCTCACCCTAGAGATGTGCCCTCTTCTGCTCTGCGTCTCCCTGTCTGCCTGGCTAACGCTTGGTGAGAACTTGGCTTAAGTGTACTTCTTTGTCACTGAAAGCAACTGGAGATAGCAGCGTGATTAGATGAGAAAGAGGCAGCTTCTAATGTGCATTAACTGTTAAAGAAACAAAAGGGACAGTTCTCCAGGAGAGGAAAGTAGGAAAAGGTGAAATCGTCAGAGAAAGTGTTTAAAGCATGGTGGGGTTTTCTGTTATTTTTCCAGTTTGGAAAGTTGTTGTGTATGGCTGGAAGAATAACTGAATGTCTACAAAATAAAAAACTCTTTGGCAAAGGTTGGCTTCTTCATCCAAAGGAAGAAAAAGCCAATAGTAAAGAACACAATAATAATAAGTACATAACATGTGATAAGCAACATGCTCATATATAAAAGGGAAGAAAAAGCTAACAAATATTAGATAACTGCATCACAACCTAGCCTCTAAGACCTAAAAGCACTACACTGAAATAGAAGTAAACAATATACAGCTTTGGGCTGGGGTTTATCTCAGTGGTGTGAGCACCTGTGTGGCTGGTATAAGGTCATGAGTTTAATCCCTGGTACCAAAATATATAGAGAGCAGAGACAGAGACAGACAGAGAAAGCTAAGGAGTTAATGTAACTTAAATTATAGAAAACAGTGATCTTGTTATACTAACTAAAGTACTAATTTTGAAGTAGAGTCTGCCTCCTCTGGGTAGGTTTTTATTCTGGAGAATACAGTGCATACATATCCTAAAATAAAATATTTAGTATTTGAGTACTAAAATATTTAGTTTTTTATAGGCAGGTATCTGTTATCACAAAGACTACCTAAATATTCTATTCATAAAGGAAGCGTAAGTGTAATAACAAATGTGTTTACATTCTGAATTTAGGTAACAAACACTGATAGCTTCCTTTAGGAGTTGGCCTTGGTTTTAAATGTGACATTTGGGACTGGAGATGTAGCTTAGTGGCACAAATGCAGGCCTGGCAAGCGCAAGGTCCTGAGTTCAATTCCCTGTACCAAAAAAATTAATAATTAAAAATACCTGTGATATTTATCATATACCCAGAAGATGTATAGTTATACTTTCCAGGATTCAGAATCAGGCCTAACATTGTTACTTGTAGAATTTAAAGAGCTCATAAAGGATAGGGGAGAGAGAGAGAGAGAGAGAACACTTAATCCACTCTAATCTATTTTATTTAAACATTTCAAAACAATGTTCTTCCATTACAAAATCAGGTGAGTATTTGGAGTCTATCTTTTCTGAGAAATATGTTCTATTTTTTAGATTGCTTTGTAAGTAACTTTACTGATTTTCTACTAATTTACTTATTTTCAAATATTATACATTGTTTTGTAAAGAGTTCATTTGATCTCTCACACTAGCAAACTGATTATGCTTTTTACACTTAAGAAATTGTGGGTTTCAGAGGCTTTCCCTCTTTCCTGCAGCTTTTCAGGTGGGTATTTTGGCTGTCTTGCATGAGTTGTTTCATTTCTGCAGCGAGTATTTGCCAAGTGCCTGCCATGCAATATAGAAAGAATAGAAAAAGTGTATTGGTTTTGACTCTTCAAGAACTGGCCCAGTATACGTAATTTATGAAAATAACAGTTAAGCAGAGCTTGCATAGGATTTTTTTAACCAGCTAGTAATTTTTCAGTGTCAGGTTTTTTTTTTTTTAATTATTAACTTCTTTTTTCTAGCGATTGCTTCCTAAATCATTGAATACAAATTAAAATGGATACACTGCATATCATCTATGTGCTTGCTGGTTAAATATCTAATACTGTGTTTTCTCTTATCAGTAAACTTGTTTTGTCTTTCTCCTTCCTTCCCTTCTTCCTGCCTTCTTTCCTTCCCCCCCTACTCTTTAGGACCTGGGGATACCGAAGGTGGGCCATGTGAAGCGAATTCTCCAGGGAATTAAAGAGCTTGGCAGGAGCACCGCCCAGGCCGAGGTGTGATCACACTGGTGCTATTCCTTGGAAGAGAAGAAATTGATAGTAAATACAAAATTCCTGGGAGCAGTTTGCTGTTCTTGTGGTTTTCTGCATAGATAAGTAAGCACCACTGAAGCACCTCTATGGCTTAATATTTTTCTGTGGGTGAAAAGTTTGATTGGAAGTATAAGAAAATGTTTTTGTGCCAAAAATACATTCCATGAAGTCATTTTCTTATTGTGCAAACCTGATATGTTTAAATATGCTCACAACCGTTAAAAAAATAGGAATCAGAAATGATGACAATGTCTAAAAGATGAAATTGCTGTTTACTTTCCTTTGGCCGGGTCTGACAGAAAAGGTTCTTTCTGTTCACCAGAGGAGTAGTGCGTGGATAAAAAACTTACTAGCTTTCATTATTGGAGGCATTGACTTCTTCCTTAAATTCATTGGTTAGGAGGCAAGATATAAATTAAATTGTTTTCAATTTTAGATTGGTATCACCTCAGGTTCCCAGCACTCACCGGTCAAAGAATATGGTTAAACAAACACACCAAATACTATAAATAATGCAAAGGATGATGCACGGTGTTCCTGCCTGGCTTGTCTCTCCTTTTCTTGCATGTCATATGTAATATTGTAATATTTTATATTCTTAATGTCAATTTTAATGGAATTTATTTATTATTTCCCAAATACCCTTTCTGTTGGCTAGGGCTACCATACTTTTCTGTTCTTTAATGTGCATTTTTGCAAATATATATGCCTAAGACTCAGTAAGTACATGTCTGTGCCATAACCAACAACCTGTCTATATCTTATGTAAGCCAGCTTTATTTCAGTCTGTCATAAACTGTGTGTGTGCACATTAAGGGAATTCTCTGTATTTTCATAAATTTACGTGCTCTTTTGCGTAACAGAATTTATGACAGCTTTCCAAACTACATTCCCACATTTGGTCCCGCTTTCTTTTCATTTCAATTGAAATTTTCTGTTTGAATTTAAAACAGACTGTTGCCATCCAGGAATTGTCTGAAGTCTCAACTGAGATTTGTATACTGATCAGTTACCCAGTGTCACTCCCTATCTACAGTAATTTCTGACACAAACCCCCAACAGAAGAAATTTAAATTTTTTAAGGACTTTATATTGGTATTACTATTGTTATTATTTTGTGTAATTTTTATATTCTATCAGATTGATATTATTTTCCTTTTTCTAAACCACTCTTCATCAGTATTGTTCATTAGAAGTCAACATTGCAATGATCAAATCTTTGAAAACCAAAGGCACTATATAAAAAATTTATAAAAATATCCTTAAAGATTTCTTTAGCCATTGTATGCCAAGAAATTAATTATAACTTTTGAAATGTTGTTTAAAAGAGAAACAAACAGGGTACTAACCTAGTGATGACAATTTTCTGTAACCTGGTAGGTGCTCAATAGATACACATACACACATATATGTGTATGTAGACATACACATATACATTTGTATGTATAGACACATTTATGTACATAAAATACTGAGAAATAATATCACTGGTATTTTCTAGATATTTATTTTGCCCAGTGTTTAAAGAAAAATATTGTTAGACATACAAGTATCTCAAAGAATTTAGCTGTTTGACACTTAATTCTAGTTTATAACTTGACTAATTATCAATTAAAATACAAACTTTAGATCTTTTAAAAGTAAATGAAGGCTAGGACTGCAGCTCAGTGGGTCAGCACTTAGCTAGCATGCCTGAAGCCTTAAGTTCAGGCCTCCCCACCGCAAATCAGAGGAACATACTGGATTCCTACCAGGTTCGATTATATAAAGTTCTAGACAAATGGAAACTTTCTAAAGGTAATTTATATCAAGTAGTTTAAAAGGATAATAATCTACTCAGTTACTTTAATGTCCATACTGATGGAGGCAGAAGTCTCCTTGTCCAGTCCCTTCTGTAGTGCCCGCCCAACATGTTGTCATCTTCTAAGTACTTTCCTATAAAGTCATAGTACCAGGTGCCAGATTTCCAGAACTTTTCTGAGATTTTAGATCCCTGCCCAGCCTTTAGGAAAAACAAAAGGGTAATCAGGGGAGGAACTGTAATATGAAGATTGAATTAATGTGAAAAGCTTTACTGATTTTCACCTTCCTGATGCCCAGTTGCCAATCAAAAAGGTTCTTAAGCTATCATGTTTTCTGAATTTCAGAGTATGATATAAATGGTTGAATTTGTTATTTGTTTGGTAACCTTTTTACTCTTGGGTACTTCTTTAAAGTCTCAGTTAATGAAAATTAAATTTTCTAGAATTTTCCTAAAATGGCTTTTTTAGATGGGGAAATCCTTTAAAATGACAATTTGGATATTTTTGTTGTTCTTGCTAAATGAGAGCTGATTGTCTGCACATATCTTTGCAGGACTCAAATGCCTTCCCTGATATGTTTGCCAATATGGCGTCCTTGGGGCCTCCTTCAGCCCTTGTCAGTGTCATGGGGAAACCTTCTTCTTATCCCAGATAGCATTAAGAACACGAGCTATGAAGTGCTCTTTCCTGGATCGCATCAGCCTGGGGTGTGCAGACACCTCGGGGCTGCAGCTTGCGGTTGTAGTTGTCATCTCCTGTTCTCTTAGGCTGTCTTGACCTGAATGGTTGGAATGTAGGCTAGAGAGTCACAGCCAAAGTCTGCTTCCTTTCACTTTGTTTTTCCTGAAAAAAAAAAAAATCTTGCTTTTTAAGAAGGAAAAGGACATTGCCTAAGTGCAGTTCCAGAGTATTTGGTATTTCTCTCCTTTGTTTGTCCACTTCCCTTTCTGAGTTTCTCTCCTGCTTCCTGCCTTTCCATTTTGTCGTCTTCCCTGAGCAGTAATAAACAACTGCTCAAACTTTCACTGCCTTTTCCTCTCCTTTCCCCATCAACTGACACCTACAAAGGGACTCCTTTTGTGTCTTCTTACTTTTAAAGGGTCTTTTAGCTAAGCATTAGAAAGAAAACCATTTAAATTAACTTCATATTTGCATGTTATAAAAGCATACTTGTTAGATAATCTAAGCAAATCGATGGGTTAGATCATTTGGGGAGTGTAACATACATTCCTCAGGCTGAGAAGGTCTATACAGTCTAATATAACCACTAGCCACCTGAGGCTGTTTAACTAGAAATTTCATTCTCATGTGCACTTACCACAGCAACTATAGGGGACAATATAGATACAGAACATTGCCACTCTTATAAAACTTTTGTGGGACAGCATTAATTTAGAATATTGTCCCTACTCAAAATGTGGTCCATGGGCCAACAGTGTGACTATCACCTGGGAGGTTATAGAAATGTAGAACCTCAGGTCCACCCAGGAATAGCAAGTCAAAACGTCTTTGCAAAGATTCCTTAAATAATTAGCATTGGCCTACATCCATTTATCCTTACTAGGTATTAGGAATTAAGGTCTTTGCAAGGTCCCTGCAACAGCTTGTTCCTCAAGCCACTGTTCCTATCAGTTCTCTCAGTAATCCTAGAAATAAGCTGATACTCATTCATCACCGTAGTCAAGTTTTCTTCTCAATCCTTATCACTAATTCTAGTGGTTTTATTTCAGTGGCTGAACAACACAGCTGGGCTCTCTCCAGTCCCAACTCCAAGCTACTAACAATCCACTTTCATTCTGTTTGTTACTCGTGTGGCATGTTAGGCTGGGAACATTTCAGAAGAATGTGTACTGAGATAAGTAAACACTGGTGGATCTTCTGCAACTCATAGATTTTCATTTTCTCTTATCAGAGACATAGCTCATGCTTGAGGACAGTTAGCAGCACAGACATTAAATGATCATTAGGCATGGAAAAGGGGGAGATCCAATTGATTACAGCAAAGTGAATGTGTCATTGAAACCCTCCAAGGAAACATGTTTTGCTAGATTTGAATGTTTTTCATAGCTAACTTATCTTTATTTCACATGGTTAATAATTCTTTCAAATAGTGCTTGAAAATGGTGTAGCACATTCTTGGCTCCCTATTGCAAAATTTTTAATTCTTTAATAAGATCTTTTACAATGACTTATTGTCAGGAATCCTTCACTTAATAATTTTTACATGCTGATAGGATTTACCCATACATAACTGCCTAGAGAATCTGTAGTTGATTTTTATGAATAAACATTTTAGACTTCTGAGGTTACTTTATTAGGAACCTAAAAATGAAATATTCCTATAAAATATCACGTAGCAAGTTATGGTAGTTCCATCTAAACCTCATTTCTAAGGTAAAGTCATCTGCTATCTTTAACTGGACTAACAATACAGTGAGCTGTCGGTTCTAAGGATATGAATTCTTTAATTACTACAACATGTCTTTTAACTTGGACATCCAGGATGTCTCCTGCTCTGCCATTTTCTTTTTGTTTTATTCTTTTGGTATTGGGACTCGAATTTAGGACCTTGCACTTGCCAGCCAAGTGCTGTACCCCTGAGCTATATCCCTGACCCTCCATCACTTTCCGAGGCAAATTCATCCTTCGTCTTTCTGATATACATTGGATAGGGTTTAGAGTTGGGTAATACAAGGACAATTTTAAAACACCAGATTGTCCCTAACACAAGGGCGGTGGGGAGGAAAGTTTTTCCAGGCAAGTGTGACTAGGGTACTGGCCGCCTTTGGGGTTCCATTGCTTGGTTCCATACTCCTCCTGCTCCACGTGCGGATCTGTTTATCTGCTGTGGCAACTCTCGATTGCCTTGTGTGTAGCTATCTCTGTGTCAGGAGAGCAATATGATGCCTTTGCAGCAGGATGCCCTCCTAAACAGGCAACCAAAACTTCATAAAGGCAGTGTTACTAGTTTCATTTTTGTTTGTTTGGTTTTTTTTTTTTTTTTTTTGTCTTGCTTTGTGGGTTTTGTTTTGTCTGTTTTTTTGTACCGGGGATCAAACTCA